CTTAAATACTACTTCTACTTAAAAGGCTGAATGCTTTTCCTCCCCCTAAACCCCATTCCAAAGAAATCAAAGATCATAAACCACTTCCTTTTTTTCCCCAAGGAAAGGAACAATAAATACGCCTAAACGTTAGAAAGGCAAACATACTTTCATATATTCAATTGCATTTGAACGGCAAATCAATTTGTAGAGGAGAGGCTCGCAGGTCCTTGCGGGTTTGTCTCTGAACAAGAAAGGCAGAGATTGTGGCCTACGAGAGCCATTTCACAGTGAACACTGGCCTTTCTTAAGTCCAATATTTAAAGGATCACTGAGGTGCAACTGGGAAGACCGGTAAAGAAAGAGAGGGCTTTCAAAGAATCCCAGTAGTTTCTGAATTCGAGGGCTCATGAAGAAAGGAATGGCATCAAAAGCCACTCAAGATACTCTGGATGATTCAGGGCCAATCCAAACAGTACCTTTATCCCAGAAGCTTCCACAGCAAACAGCAGGGTGGCCAGATGCCGTTCCCTGTAAACATGGAAGCAATTGCTACAAAAGGAGGGGAAAAAAGAAATTTCCAGGTGCAGGAATATCCGAATATGCAGATCTTTGCATGTCTGTATGTCCCAGTAATCGGAACTCACCGGATTTTTTATTTAGGTTTGTTCTTGGGTTTTAGATATTTGTTCCTGATTGGTCGGTTTCTAAAAAGAAGGTGGCAGTTGAGTACAATGTGAAAAGTTTGTTTGTGTGCCAGAAACTTCATTAAACATGTGGAGGGCACATTTTCTCTGGCCAGGACAAAGTTGTGCCCCCCTAGTCAACGTTGTACATCTTTTCACAATAAGAGCAATCAGGTACAGACATGTATAACCCAGGAACAACACCCCAGTCTGCACAGATGGCCCTGCAGCTTATATAACCCAGGAATGAAACTTATACAAGGTGAGGCAGCATAACTTCCTTTTTTAAAATGCGCGCCATTCAGTCGGTTGAAGACGTAGCGGAGCGCTAGTGGTCTCGTTTGAGAGGCGGGAGTCTAAAGTTTTGTCCTGACACAGTTCAGTCACCATCATACGTTGTACAGTGAGGAGCCTGCTTTTGCCGTTGAGGCCTACTTTTCAAGTGGATTTGGAGTGGCCAGCCCGCTCTCCAGATTTGGCCCCTTGTGATTTTTTTTTCTATGGGGTTTTTTGAAATCCTGTGTTTATGTGAACCATCCAAGGGCCCTACAAGATTTGAAGACCAACATCCAGGAAGAAATTGCCAACATAATGCCTGCTATGCTGGCAAGTCATGACAAACGCCAGAAATCGGTTTACTCAATGTATGGAGAATGGAGAATGGGGGACGTCACCTACCTAATTTGATCTTCAAAACTACATAAAACAAAACTTTAGGTATGCGCCTATGTTATATAAAAAAATTCTGATTCATATAATGGGTTTTATTAAGTTTTGAAAAAAGGAAGTTATGCAGCCTCACTCTGTACAATGATTTGCATCTTAAGGCTTTTTTTTTTAAGCCAAAATTTCCGGCGGAGGTCCCACAGTGACCATCTTGGGTGCCTCTAAATCTCACAACAAAGCATCAAGTCTAGACAACTGAGGCAGAAATCCCGGGACTAACAGGTCTGTATGTGGACCTCTTCTGAAGTCCCGGGATTTTTTGCCTCTGTTTAAAACCCATAAATTAGTGCTGTCTGGAAGCGCCCTGACTTGTCTCCATGAGTTCTGAATAGGGGCTAGATGGGCAATTTTTGTCCCCCAGATGTTTCTGGGGGATTCCATCTGAACATTAGGAAGAACTTCCTGACTGTGAGAGCCGTTCAGCAGTGGAACTCTCTGCCCCGGAGTGTGGTGGAGGCTCTTTCTTTGGAAGCTTTTAAACAGAGGCTGGATGGCCATCTGTCAGGGGTGCTTTGAATGCAATAATCCTGCTTCTAGGCAGGGGGTTGGACTGGATGGCCCATGAGGTCTCTTCCAACTCTATGATTCTATGTCTTGCAACTGCAATAGTGATGGGAACTGCAATCCAAAACTACCTGGAGGGCCAAACATATCAGCTCTTGTCATGGGGAACTGTAGTTTCTGACTTGAAACCACTCTCGACTCAAAATAACAGGAGAGATTAGCTCAGGAGCAAGATCTTCCTCAGCCTGGTCTTCCTCCTTCAGCCAATGTTTTGGATTTCAGTTCCCACCAGTCCAGTGGTCCTGGGAACTGTTTTCCCAAACATATTGAGAAGACTACAGTTCTCTTTTAACGATTTTTTAATTTAGATGTTGCCTCATTGGAAGACACACCAGTCAATATTCCCAGTTTCATTTGCACTGAATACCAGAAGCAATTCGATGTCTCTTAGGGCCCTACCACACAGCCATATAACTCAGAATATCTGCTTTGAACTGAGTTATCTGAGTCCACATTTCCATTTCAAAATGGAAGGGGCCTAAGTCACTATTGTTCTTCTCAGAAGCGGAAGAGGCTCTTTTGAAGACTAAACCATGCTGGGAAGCATCTGGCGTCTGAGGGAAGGAGAGGGGAGCAAACAGTCCTATTACGAACCTGAGTTAGGCCAGATTTATCTAGGTTTTTCATCCATAGTATGGACTTCATCTAAAATCTTAGCCTACTTTATGGTACGAGTTTGTGTGTCTCTTTAGGCTCAAAGAGGCCAACTCCAGTACTCATTGTTCATTTGCACCGTAATGGAAAGACATTGCAGTGCTAAAGCTCATTCTGCACAGGGACGGCAAGACATAGTTGCCACCCAAACACCATCCTTGTAGCAGGGCCCTGATGATTTAGCCAATAATGTGTTGCTGCAGCTCCAAAAATAATCCGACTAACATTTCTTTTTGGTGGCAGAAAGGAAACAGTTTGTTCCTCACTGGAACAGGAAAGTGAATTTTACTCTTTTAACTAAACATTAAAAAAAAGACAAAACCTGATTGAAATGAACCATATGAAGCAGTGACTAGAAGATAATTCAAAGACAAGGAAATACTGGTCGGTCTGTTTACTAGTTTTCCACAATGCTTATTATATTACAGGGCAAAGTGGAGCAAGCTTTTTCAGCTTGGAGGAAGACTCACTTTGGAGGCCGAGGAATGGATCTCCAAGGGGGTTTTGGGATCGTCCAAAATGCTTAAAAAGGCAGGCCAAGAAAAGAAGCAGCCACCTTGTCCTTCTCTGTGAAGAGATGCTTGTAATACTTGCTTATTTCAGAACATATCTGAGCTCCGTCAAGAAAGGACAGAGACATCCGTCCCAATGTGTTGTTGAAGGCTTTCGTAGCCAGAATCGCTGGACTGCTGCGAGTTTTCTGGGCTGTATGGCTATGTTCCAGAAGCATTCTCTCCTGACATTTTGCCCACATCTATGGCAGGCATTCTCAGAGGTTGTGAGGTATACTGAAAACTAAGTGAGGGAAATTTATATATCTGTGGAAGGTCCAGGGTGGGAGAAAGAACTCTTGTCTTTTGGAGGCAAGTGTGAATGCTGCAATTAAACACCTTGATTAGCATTGAAAAGTCTTGCAGCTTCAATGCCTGGCTGATTGCTGCCTGGGGGAATCCTTTGTTAGGAGGTGTTAGCTAGCCCTGATTTTTTCATGTCTAGAATTCCCGTGTTTTCAAAGTGTTGTTCTTTATTTGCTGTTCTGATTTTAGAAGAAGAACTTTATTTTTCTACCCCACCTCCATCTCCCCGAAGGGACTCGGGGCGGCTTACATGGGGCCCAAGGCAGAATACAATTAAAATAAAGCAATAACAATTAAAACAGCATAAAAACTGCATAAAACAACATAACAAAAATAGCTATCAACAACAATAACAGCAGACTAATTTTGGAAGGGGGTGGAAAACCACTACGTGAACTAGTTTAAAGATAAAGTGGTTTAGTAAGGTAGATGACAATGTATAACGGCATAGGAAAAATCATGAAAACAGAGCAAATTAATAGGATCAGTTAATATAATATAGGACATCAGATTGAATGACAATTCAAGTAATGATACAGACCATTTGTCACAGGAGTCGTCACTCAAAAGCACAATGAAACATCCAAGTCAAAATCACGACGAAACTCCCCAGCCTAATCTCCCTGGGGAGGGAGTTCCAGAGATAGGGGGCCACCACCGAGAATGGCCTCTCTCTCATCCCCACCAACCGTTCCTGAGATGGGGACGGGAGCGAGAGAAGGGCATCCCCAGAAGATCTTAAGGACCACGTGGGCTCGTAAGGGAGGAGGAGTTGTTTAATATCGGTAGCCAGATTTTGTTCATTTTCCAGGTTTCCTACTTTTTGTTGAAATTATCCACATTTTAAGGCTTTCAGTGGCTTCTCTGTGTAGTCTAATGTTCAGCTATGTTCAGGAAAGGACAAGAGGGATCCTCTCACCTCTGCAGGAGTCTACCGTATTCCATGCAACTGTGGATAAGTCTACAGAGGGACCAACAAACACAGCAGCATTGTCCAAACACGAATCAAGGAACATGAAAGGCACTGCAGACTACTTCAACCAGAGAAGTCAGCCATAGCAGAGCACTTGATGGACCAACCTGGACACAGCATATTATTTGACAGCACAGAAATGCTGGACCACTCAGACAACCACCATGTCAGACTACACAGAGAAGCCACTGAAACCCACAAGCACGTGGCCAATTTCAACAGAAAGGGGGAAACCATGAAAAAGAACAAAATTTGGCTACAAGTATTTAAAAAACTCTAAAATCAGAACAGCAAATAAAGAACAACACTCAGAAAACAGCAGAATTCCAGCCAGGAAACTATCAGGGTCAACAAACACCTCCCAACAAAGGATTCCCCCAGGCAGGAACCAGCTTTTCAATGCTAATCTAGGTGATTGATTACAGAATTCTGAAAGGTTTCTCTGATGTAGCAGAAGCTAGAGACAATAAGGGATTACGAACAAACTGTAAGGTTTCTCAGCTCGAACTGTGTTTCTGTGGATTAGTCTTCTCTTGAAAGAAGATGCCATGACAGAAGGGCTGAAGGTACCATACGTCTTTATTGTTCGGAATACAAGAGTCTCGCACTACCTGTCTATATAGGCCTAGCTACAATATCCTAAATCACGCAAGAGTCCTGACCTTTTTCCACATTCCAGTGCCCACTTTCTCCCTACCTTGGGGCAATTGACTTTTATGGCTGGTTCATATGTCGTGTCCCCTTTTTTGGCCAATGTTCACGTGCTCTATGTCAGGAGGGCTGATAGTCAAATGGCATGAGATAGAGATCATGACACATTCACAAACAAGAGTTCTTTCTCCCACCCTGGACCTTCCACAGATATATAAACCTCCTTTGCCTAGTTTCCAACAGACCTCACAACCTCTGAGGATGCCTGCCATAGATGTGGGCAAAACGTCAGGAGAGAATGCTTCTGAAACATGGCCAGACAGCCCGGAAAACTCACAGCAATCCCTTCCAATCCTTGCTTTTCCTCCTTAGTGGACTCACCTCCATACCCAAACCTAGGAGTTCACCAAAGTATTTGTAAATATTGCAAAAACAGAACTTCAGTTTGCGTTCTGCCCTTGAACAGTGTTTCCTCATATTAAAAAAGAAAGAAAAGAGTAAAGTGAAGTCAGGAGCAAGATGTGAATTCCTGACCATCACAATATAAACCTGAGATATATAGATATATATATATTTATATTTGGCAGTTTTACTTCAACATCCTTACCTCCTTTGTTGATGTGCATTTAAAACCACTCTCTGTGTCACTGTTCAACCCAGACAAGGAAAATAATAGATTTCTTTAAAAAACAAAACCAAGAGAGACACCCACCGTCCGATAATACCTTTAAAAAAGTGATTAGGTATCAAATTAAATATGATAAATAAAAGCTTATTTACATTGTTTCCCCCCTCCCCTAAAAACCAAATCTAGTAAATTCAAAACTGTGCAAACTGAAGAACATCCAACACTCAGATGTTAGTCCATGAAACGTCACATATTACCAATCTTACAAAAAAGGGGGAAAAAACCCTCTAATATTTAAAAAATATGCATCGCATCTATCAAGACACAAAAGGAATTGCAAAAAAAGGTTTTAAGACTAGTAAAAGAGTTATCCATGACACAGGCACTTCACATGTAAACAATCTACAGTACAACTGAAATAATATTATATATATATATATGTATATTTTGGCACCAACCTAGAAATACTGAGAGCGAGAGAGAAAAAGGGAAAACATCCCACACCACTTTTGTCCTTTATGCTGTATACTATTCTGTTGCCGTCCTCAATGCGAATATCGGAGATGGCACAACAAGAAGAAGTGCAAGAAATTAAGAAAAGCAAATGGTTAATCACATAGCGTTTTTGTCGGTATGTTGTAGTGATTTGGGGGGTTTTTGGAGAGGGGGGGGAATGTATACAAAAAGGTGATTCAAACTGTAGTGGAAATGTGGCTTTTGTAGTCATCCAGAGAAGTCAAACTATGAATGGAAGAAGCGAGAGAAATGCACTTTGTTCAGGATGTGGACATGATACTAATCAACCAGGAGTTGGTTGGGATTTTCAGTAAACATCTCTCAATTGGGGTGTTTTTCTCTCACAGAAGAAAACAATGTGATGCAAAAGTGAGGCATCAGCTTAACACAGAGGGAAAAAGATGTCACAGGAGGAAGTGAAGGCGAGTACTACCTGGAAAGAAATCCTGAGGGTTTTCAGGATCTCTTATGGCTCTGAGTTCAAAACGCGCAAGAAGGACAACCCTCGGCTGGGCGAACAGTCAGTTCGGCATAAAGGGAGCGTGTCCCCAAATGTAAGGCTCAGTCTGCAACCTCCAAGGGCCAAACGGGTCAATCAGGGCCAGCCACGGGACCTGTGTCTCTCACAGGCAGGAGAGCTGCGAGGCCTTTGAGGACGGGATCTCGAGCAGAGCCTGGACCGTCAGTCCCACTTTGACCAGGCCCCTCTCTTCCAAAATGTGATGGGGCAGGCAGAGTCTGTCCTGGAAAAGAAAAGCGCTGTTTTTACAAGGCTAGATCTCGATCAGTCTGTAGAAGAGAAGGGTGCGTCTATTGTTTATTTATTTATTTACTTTATTTGTATACCGCTCTTCTCAGCCCTTAGGCGACTCAGAGCGGTTAACAGCAACAGTTTCAGTATACAAAATACAAGGTTATTGGGTAGTTAAAAGCAATCACATAACAAGTTAATTAAACAGTAAACATCAATACAACAATATATCAATACATCAATATAACAAATCCATCAGATCTCATCACTAGAATCAGAATCCAGTCTCGTTATCCATTATTCCATGTTCCGGTAATCAATCAATTGCACTGCTTAGTCAAATGCCTGTTCAAACAGCCAGGTCTTCACTTTTCTCCGGAATGTCAGTAAGGAGGAGGCCGATCTGATGTCTGCAGGAAGGGCGTTCCACAGCCGAGGGGCCACCACTGAGAAGGCCCTGTCTCTCGTCCCCACCAGGCGTGCTTGTGAAGCTAGCGGGACCAAGAGCAGGGCCTCCCCAGACGATATTAATGTCTAACTGTTCATAGGGAGATGCGTTCGGACAGATAGGTCGGGCCAGAACCGTTTAGGGCTTTAAAGGCTAAAGCCAGCACTTTGAATTGTGCCCGGTAGCAAATTGGCAGCCAGTGGAGCTGGCGCAACAGAGGAGTTGTATGCTCCCTGAGTGCCGCTCCTGTTAGCATCCTGGCTGCCGATTGTTGGACCATTTGAAGCTTCCGAGCAGTCTTCAGAGGCAACCCCACGTAGAGAGCATTGCAGTAGTCTATACGGGATGTGACTAGAGCGTGGACTACCGTGGCCAAGTCAGACTTCCCAAGGTACGGGCGCAGCTAGCGCACAAGTTTTAATTGTGCGAATACTCCCCTGGTCACCGCTGAAACCTATTGTTGGGCAAGTGGGCTTGTTAACAAAAGACCCTCTTCATAAATGTACAACAGAGCAACTTCTTAGCAGCAGCGAGACTCAGCACCAGTAGCTCAAAGTGATAAAAAGAACAAATTGGCAGCCAGTGGAGCTGGCGCAACAGAGGATACAGATTAAATACAGATTAAAATTCACAAGAACAAAAAAACCTCACACAGACCAATGTTAAATCTTCCTTAGGAGGCTTTTCTTGATAGCAAAAATAACATGGTTGCACTATTTACAAGAACAAGGTTTCCATAACATGACCAAAATTCTTTGCTTCCATGCTAGACTTCTTTCTCATGCAGATAAACAGTTTCGCTCTCACAGAGCCTCTTCTCATACCGAAGTTACACAGGAGTTTCACACAGTAGCTTTTTACACACAGCAGCCTTCACACACAATGGCTTTCAACATGGGACTTCTCTCACCGAAGCTTCTCACACCAGGTCTACTCACACTGAGGCCTTTGTCCCACTGAAGCCTTCTCACACTGAGGGCTCTCTCAGACTGACACCTCTCTCATACTGAGGCAAACTAACACTAAAGCCTACCTCATAATGAGGCCTACTAATACAGTGAGGCCCTTCTTCCACAGAGTCCTCTCACAGACTGAGGGCTACAGTCACACCTGCTTACATTGAATTGCAGCTTTTGCTGAGTTGTTGCATCCATTTAAGCCTTTCAGTGCTTGTGTCACATTTTTGTAATTAAAAATACCTAATTAATATTTAATATTTCTGACATCTATACCAGGCATGAGCAAACTTTTGGCCCTCCAGGTGTTTTGGACTTCAACAACAACAACAACAACAACAACAAMWAATAATAATAATAATAATAATAATAATAATAATCTTTATTTATACCCCGCCACCATCTCCCCAAGGGACTCAGAGCGGCTTACATGAGGCCAAGCCCAACAACACATCAATAAAAACAAAAAGCAATAAACAAAACAATAAATATAATACAATTAATATAAATCACATATAAACAATAACCAATAAACAGTAACACACAAGAATTTAAAAATCTATAGCCGGGCCAAATGTAATAGTTTTAAAATTWAAAAAAAACGCTGGGCATGAACAAGGTCAGATATATCTGGTATAGGGTTTTAAAAGAGAGAGGAGCGCAGTCAATTCTAAACCAGTAGTAAAGTGCATTGTGAGGACATATTGCTGGGAATTTTCCTTATTCTGGGAATGCACACTGGAACAGCCACGTTTTCAGGCTCCTCCTAAAGACTGCCAATGTTGGGGCAGGCCTGATGTCCTTGGGAAGTGAGTTCCAGAGTTGGAGGGCCACCACCGAGAAGGCCCTCTCCCTCGTCCCCACCAATCACGCCTGCCAAGGAGGTGGGAGCATGAGCAGGGCCTCTCCAGGTGATCGAAGAGATCATGTGGGTTCGTACACAGAAATGCAGTTCCCACATTTCCTAAAATGAAGTCCAAAACACCTGGAGGGCCAAATTTTGCCCATGCCTGCCTTATAGCCATGTTTAAATACAGGAAAAGAGGTTGTATTGAAGATGGAGGCAAGTTTGCTCTTTGCTGCTCCAAAGCTTGAAACACAATGGAGCAATGAGTTCAAACTACAAGAAAAGAGACCCTACCTAGAATCCTAGAGTTGGAAGAGACTCCAAAGGACATTCACTTCAGCTTCCTTATAAAATACAGATTAAAATTCACAAGTTGAATGTGTCTACACAAGGCCTATAGACACATTTAATTGCTTTGGATTATATGACCAGTTCAATCTGCAAATTATAACGGTAGTGTAGATGAGGCCATAGCTCATGTTCTTTCAACATGATTGATATGGATATTTAAAAAGTGCTTGGAAAAGTCTTCTGTTTAAAGACGACCGTGTCCCCAACTCTTCTAAACCTCTTTTTCCAAATTGTGGCAATAAAAGGCATTCTCGTTCCGTTCTACCTTCAATACCTCACTTTCTGAGGCCCCTTCTACATATAATCCAGATTATCAAATCAGATAATCCAAATTATCTGCTTTGAACTGGATTATACAAGTCTACACAGCCATATACCGTATATACTCGAGTATAAGCCGACCCAAATACAAGATGAGGCACCTAATTTTACCACAAAAACTGGGGAAATGTATTGACTCGAATATAAGATGAGGGTGGGAAATGCAGCAGCTACTGGTTAATTTCAAAGTAAAACTAGATATCAATAAAATTACATTAATTGAGGTACCAGTAGATTAAATGTTTTTGAATATTTACATAAAACTGTAATGTAAGACTGTCCAGCTCTGATGAAACCATTATTCTAGCCTCCCTCAATGTAAATGTGCTTACGTATCCTTCCAATAATAATAAAGAGAGCAAAATAATAAATTGAATAACAATAATAAATGGAGTTAAATAATAAATGTAATAGAGTAAAATAATAAATGTAATAAAAATAGTAGAGTAAAATAATGTAAATGTAATAATATCAATAATAATAGAGTAAATAATAATTGTAATAAAAATAATAGAGTAAAATAATGTAAATGTAATAATATCAATAATAATAGAGTAAATAATAAATGTAATAAAAATAATAATAGAGTAATAACATAAATGTAATAAAAATAATACTAATAACAGAGTAAAATAATTAATAACCTTGGCTCAAGTATAAGCCGAGGGGAGCTTTCTCAGCCTAAAAAAGGGCTGAAAAACTAGGCTTATACTCAAGTATATACAGTAATCCAATTCAAAGCAGGTAATCTGGATTTTATATGACAATAGAGAAAGAGTCTGAGAAGCAGACAAAAGTCTCATCTCTGCTGCAGAGCCCAAATGCTCAGCTCCTTCTTGCACATTTTATACCGCAATCCCTTTCCAAACCAAGAAAACACCCCACATTATTCATTATTGAGCTCCACAAAATCTAGAACAGTTAAGCAGCCCTAAGTCAGTCATAGGCATGAAGGGATAAATTCTAGGGATTTACCTGTGGCACACCGAGTTTTTTACAAGCGTCGAGGAAGTTTTCTACATTTCTTCGGCACTTCGCCATACTGAGTTTAGGCTGTTAAGAGAGAGAAGGCCCACACTGAACAAAAAACGTGGCATTAAACAGCAGCAAAAGTCATGGTGCTGAACCAGAGCCAAAATATAGGAGTATTTTGATTAATACAAGCCATCCCTGAGTTACAAACATCCAACTTGCAAATGCTCCTAGTTAAGAACAGGGGTGAGAGAGGAAGTGAGAAAAATCTCCCCTTGGAAGGGAACTGCACTCCTGGAAGAGTTATTATCATGGGGCTTTTTCACTAATCCTTGTTTCAACAACCAGCCACATTTTTCAAAATCCAGTGATCACAGAGACAGAAAGTAAAGGGGCACAGACAGGGGCACAGACAGCAAAACAAACCCCATTGTGGGGTGTTCACCCTTGCCTATGCTATCCAAAGATAGAATATATACCGTATATACTCGAGTATAAGCCAACCCAAATATAAGTCGAGGCACCTAATTTTACCACAAAAAAATGGGGAAATGGATTGACTCGAATATAAGCCGAGGGTGGGAAATGCAAGAGCTACTGGTAAATTTCAAAATAAAAATAAATACCAATAAAATTATATTAATTTAGGCATCAGTAGGTTAAATGTTTTTGAATATTTACATAAAACTATAATTCAAGATAAGACTGTCCAACTCTGATTTAAACCATTATTCTAACCTTCTTCAATGTAAATATGCTTACATGTCCTCCAATAATAATAGAGTAAAATAATAATAATAATAATAATAATAAAGTAAAATAATGGAATGTAGTAACAGTCATAATAGAGTAAAATAATAAATGTAATAATAACAATAGAGTAAAATAATAAATGTAACAATAACAATAGAGTAAAATAATAAATGTAATAATAACAACAATAATAATAAAATAATAAATGTAATAACAACAACAATAATAATAAAATAATAAATGTAATAATAACAATAACAACCACAAAGTAAAATTATAAATAACATTGACTCGAGTATAAGTTGGGGGAGACTTTTTCAGCCTAAAAAAAGGACTGAAAAACTAGGCTTATACTCGAGTATATACAGTATATATTTGGTTGGACTTATTTAAAAAATGTGCCTGTCCTAAGCTATAAAGAAATTTAACTTAAGAACAAACCTACAGAACCTCTCTTGTTCATAACTTGAGGATTTCCTATAAACCAATCTGAAATGGTTGCACTTGCAAAGCATCTAACTAGACAAGGATTATCGAATGGAGGGGGTGGGGGGGGGGGGTCCTGTGAGAAACAGGGAGTTTATTGACCTTGAAAGGAAGTGCTGGACTTACCACCGCTGGCGATGGGACATGAATACTGGCAACGGACCGAGGTCTGATGTGGTTGGCTAAATGGCACAGAACCACGCCATCCATTAATGCTGCTCCAATGTCATCCGGCAAACTGACCTTCAACCGTGACTCCAGGTTCTAATGCGCATTAAAACAAACATACAAACTGGATCAACTTTCAGTGTCAAGGGAATAATCAATGTAAGAATTCAATAATATTGCGTTAAATTGGGTATTTTTAATTAAAGATTTTTTTGAACTTAAAAAAAATTAATTAAAGCAATAAAATAAAATAAAAATGAATTTTATAAAGCACGTTGGTCCAGTTTCAAAGTAGATGGGGTTCCCATTCCAGGTGCTTCCAAGGCTGGATCTACGCTGCCATACAATCCGGTTTCTGAAACCATGTTATCTGTTTTGATCTGGATAATAAAATAATAAATGTAATAATAACAATAATAATAAAATAATAAATGTAATAATAACAATAACAACCACAAAGTAAAATTATAAATAACATTGACTCGAGTTTTCGGGTTTCGGCGGTGACCAGGGGAGCATTCGCACAGTTAAAACTTGTGCGTCAACTGCGACCGTACCTTGGGAAGTCTGACTTGGCCACGGTAGTCCACGCTCTGGTTACATCCCGTCTTGACTACTGCAACGCTCTCTACGTGGGGTTGCCTTTGAAGACGGCTCGGAAGCTCCAATTAGTTCAACGGGCGGCAGCCATGATACTAACGGGAGCGGAGCGCAGGGAGCATACTACTCCTCTGCTGCACCAGCTCCACTGGCTGCCGATTTGCTACCGGGCCCAATTCAAAGTGCTGGCGTTCGCCTTTAAAGCCCTAAACGGTTCTGGCCCAACTTACCTATCCGAACGTATCTCGGCCTATCAGCCCACCAGGACCCTAAGATCTTCTGGGGAGGCCCTGCTCTCTATCCCGCCTGCTTCACAGGTGCGGCTTGCGGGAACGAGAGACAGGGCCTTTTCTGTGGTGGCCCCTCATCTTTGGAACGCCCTCCCCTAGAGGTAAGATCAGCCCCCTCGCTGATGGTGTTTCGAAAAAGATTGAAGACATGGATGTTCGAACAAGCATTCGGTTAATCCGGTGCAATGAGTTTGATGATTAAGGATTAGTAATCATGGACGATGAAATTGGATTGCAATTCTAGTTAAGAGATGCATTGGATTGTATTGGTGGCCCAATATTATGTATTGTATGTTGTTTATATGCTTTTTAAACTTAATATTGTTGATTGTTGTAGAGTTGTAAACCGCGTTGAGTCGCCAATTTAGGCTGAGAAACGGCGGTATACAAGCGCAGTAATAAATAAATAAATAAATAAATATATGAGTCTGCAATATGTAATGTATTACTGTTTTCATGTTGTTGTACTTTATGTATTATGTATTTTATGTATGGCATCTTTCTGTGCTATTTTGTAAGTCACCTTGAATCCCTATGGAAGATGGAGGCGGGTACAAATGTATTATTATTATTATTATTATTTATAATCAAGTTCAAAGCAGATAGAATCATAGAATCATAGAATCATAGAATCAAAGAGTTGGAAGAGACCTCATGGGCCATCCAGTCCAACCCCCTGCCAAGAAGCAGGAATATTGCATTCAAAGCACCCTGACAAATGGCCATCCAGCCTCTGCTTAAAAGCTTCCAAAGAAGGAGCCTCCACCACACTCCGGGGCAGAGAGTTCCACTGCTGAATGGCTCTCACAGTCAGGAAGTTCTTCCTAATGTTCAGATGGAATCTCCTTCTTGTAGTTTGAAGCCATTGTTCCGCGTCCTAGTCTCCAGGGAAGCAGAAAACAAGCTTGCTCCCTCCTCCCTGTGGCTTTCTCTCACATATTTATACATGGCTATCATATCTCCTCTCAGCCTTCTCTTCTTCAGGCTAAACATGCCCAGCTCCTTAAGCCGCTCCTCATAGGGCTTGTTCTCCAGACCCTTGATCATTTTAGTCGCCCTCCTCTGGACACATTCCAGCTTGTCAATATCTCTCTTGAATTGTGGTGCCCAGAATTGGACACAATATTCCAGATTTGGTCTAACCAAAGCAGAATAGAGGGGTAGCATTACTTCCCTAGATCTAGACACTATGCTCCTATTGATGCAGGCCAAAATCCCATTGGCTTTTTTTGCCGCCACATCACATTGTTGGCTCATGTTTAACTTGTTGTCCACGAGGACTCCAAGATCTTTTTCACACATACTGCTCTCGAGCCAGGCGTCACCCATTCTGTATCTTTGCATTTCATTTTTTCTGCCAAAGTGGAGTATCTTACATTTGTCACAATACAAATGTGACAAATGTAACACATAGTATTGTGTTACAATACTATGTAACACAATTTTTGTTCCTGGATTATAAGTGTCACTTCCTAATTGGTTCTATCATAAAAACATGGAAAAAGTTTATTAACTTGCCAAAACTTCGTTTTGGTAGGACATTGTGCAGCACATTTTTTTATTTATTTATTTATTTAATTTTATTTTATTTACATTACACCCTTCTCACCCCGCAGGGGACTCAGAGTGAATTACAATGTACATATACATGGCAAACATTCAATGCCATAGACACACAACATATATAGACAGACACACAGAGGCTATTTTAACATTCTGGTGGTATTCTGGCCACCAGGCGAGCTGTCATTTCACCGTCCATTTGTGACACTGATGAAGTACTTCCTCATTCTTTGCATGCTTGCTGGAGATTTTTATGGCGTCGTAAATTAGCCTCCCCGCATAAGCAGTACCTAAATTTCCTACTTGACTGATGCAACTGTCTTTCGGGCTGCAAAGGTCAACAGCAAGCTACACAAACTGGTCGGAAGCTCATTCCGTTCCGGGCTGGCTTTGAACTCATGACCTTTTGGTCAGTAGTGATCTTAATGCAGCTGACTCCCAGCCAGCTGCGCCACAGTCCCGCTGCTCTTAAATGTTCATAACATTTTAAAAACAAAAGATTTAACTAGCTTTTCAATGAATATCTCATTGAGTCTCAACCAATTCAACAAAGTTTGTGGCAGCCACAAAAAACTCCTAGCATCATGTCCCTGATGCACTTTATTAGATTTAAGATTGCCACACATTGCACCTACCCTAGAATCCTTCCATCTTACCTGTCATGTCCAGCACTTTTATATTTGGTCTGGCCCTAGTTTTAAATGTGGCACAGTGTATTGTTTTGTTGTTTTACTATTATTGCTTTAATGTTTTTTTGTTTGCTTGTGAGTTAAATAATGTATTTGTTATGCTGTTGTTTTATTGAGGGACTTGGCCTTTGTAAGCCGCATCGAGTCCTTTGGGATATGTTAGCGGGGTACAAAAAAAGTTAATAATAATAATAATAATAATAATAATAATAATGAAGTTTATGGAGTAGAACAAATATTTTCAAAGTAATGACTGCACAATTAAACAGGAAATAACACTTTTGAACCAGGAACAGACAATTTTGTTACGTATTATAGTGTAATTTGGATTCAGGAACTGGATTATATGACAATGTACATGGGGTCCAGGTTTGCCTGCTTGTAGTGCCTCACAAGCAGGACTCATCTCCCAATGAAGTGCAAGCTAAGGCAACAATGCTAGGACCCATTCTAGACGGAGACGTACGTGGCGCAGCTGCTTGATCTGCTCCCTCTCCTCCCGCAAGTGCTCCATTTTCCTCCTCATGGTGAATCCGGGGTCGACAGTGCTGTAGTCCTGCCGCGAACGGGCAAAGGCTGCAAAGAGAAAGGGGGACATTTAAGGGGTCTTTCCCTCAATGCTTTCAGTCTCTCAGACCACAGAGTGGTGCCTCTTACCTGATCTGGGCTTGAGTCCAAATGGCCCGTCGGCCCTCTCATATTCCTAGCAGCAAGAAAAATGGAAGGTGTCAGCAAACCACAGAAAGCCACTGGAAAGATGCACAGGATGGACAGTTTTCATAGGGCCAGCACCTGTTCCCTGAGACTCCAAGGTAAGACTGCACTGGCTACTCATTAAGCTGTATCACTACTACTGCATTGATTTGAGACTAATGTGCCATCAAATGTAATGCATGTCTCAATTTTCAAAACCCTGAAACCAAAAAAAAATGTACCGTATATACTCGAATATAGGCAGACCCAAATATAAACTGAGTTGCCTAATTTTACCACAAAAAAACTGGAAAATCGTATTAACTCAAGTGTAAGCCAAGGGAGGAAAATGCAGCAGCTATGGGCCAATTTCAAAATAAAAAACAGATACCAATGAAATTAAATTAATTGAGGCATCAGGAGGTGAAATGTTTTTGAATGTTTACATAAAACCGTTATTTATATCAAACTCTGATCAAACCATTATTCTAACCTTCTTCAGTGTAAATTTGCTTGTGTATCTTTCCAATAATAATAGAGTAAAATAATAAATGTCATAAAAATAATAATAGAGTAAAATAATGGAAATGTAAGAATAACAGTAATAATAGAGTAAAAATAACAAATGTAATAACAATAGCAATAATAATAGAGTAAAATAATGAATGTAATAAAATAATAATGGAGTAATATAATGTAAATATAGTAATAGAGTAAAATAGTACATGTAATAATAAAAGAGTACAATACAATGTAATAAAACAATAATAGAGAAAAATAAATGTAATAATAATAAATAGAGTAAAATAATAAATGTAATAATGATAATAATAGAGTAAAAGAATGTAAATGTAATAATAATAACGAATAATAACTGTTGCTCTGGGCCAGAGTGAAGAGAGGGGAGGCCAAGAGACAGTTCCATCTTGTCTCCTGGATATGCCATGAGCTGGAGACCCCTCTCCCTCATCACCAACTGTCACTCTGGGCCATAGTGAAGAAAGAGGGGGCCAGGGGACAATTCCATCTTGTCTCCTGTGCTATTCTAATAATATAATATAATATATTGTATATATTGTATATACATATAATATTTTTGATATATAATGTAATGCAATATAATAATAAGATATTATAATTCTATATTTATATTACATGTAATATTACTAATAATATTATGATATAGTGGTATGGTGAAATATAGCAAATGTTTAATGCTGATATTGTACTATGCTAATAATATAATATATTGTATGTAATATATACCTTGTAAGCCGCTGAGTCCCCTTCGGGGTGAGAAGGGCGGCATATAAATGTCGTAAAAAAATAAAAAAATAAAGTAAAATATTAAATAATAAATAATACTAATAACAGAGTAAAATAATAAATAACCTTGACTCGAGTGTAAGTTGAGGGGGGCTTTTTCAGCCTAAAAAGGGGGCTGTAAAACTAGGCTTATACTCGATTATATACACTATTTCCTGTCAAATATAAAGTGCAGTGATAAAAAGTGCATTTTGTCATTTGGCCAAAAAGGTGTGCGTTAAGGCTGCTGCCTTCTTAGGATTCCTTCTTTAAAACACAAAACTGTCCCATGGCCCCCTCTCTCTTCACTCTGGCCCAGAGCGACAGTTGGTGCTGGGGGGAGGTGTCTCCAGCCAATGGCATATCCGGAGACAAGACTGAGTTAAGAGTAGTTGCTTGGTATTGTTTTGCTTTGACATACGAGCAGCATTTTGAGTTCAGGGATAGCACTAGCACCAAAGTACAGGGATTTAAGACCTCAAAGAAGCAGCCTCCGTGCCTCTTCTCATGTCCACTTTGAGTTTTTCCTACTTCTAAATTTAAATTTAAATTTAAAACTATTACATTTGGCCCGGCCATAGGTGTTTTGAATTCTTGTGTGTTACTGTTTATATGTGAGTTATATTAATCGTATCATTTTTGCTTTTTGTTTTTTGTTTTATTGATGTGTTGTTGGGCTTGGCCTCACATAAGCCGCTCTGACTCCCCTTGGGGAGATGGTGGTGGGGTATAAATAAAGTATTATTATTATTATTATATTGGGATAATTTTATTTTAATCTTCGTGGTGGTCGTGTAAATTGTAAATGTTGTGTAGGTGTATGTCCTAAAATATTTAAGTGGGGGAGGTAATATTTCCTTTCTAATAAGGAAAGGGAGGTTGGGGGATGCAGCTTGAGATGTGAAGAGGCTGAAGAGGCATTTCTGCTTTTCCCCCGAAGTACGTCATTGCTAACGCAAAAGGTGTTTCTTTTCCAAAAAAGCCCCTACTGTGCAGCATTCTCCATTTCCCCACAAAGAATGGCATGTTCTGAGTGACAGTCGCAATGCAACATCCACAGGTAGAGAAGAAATCCACATACGTCAACACACATCAACACACACACACAGAGCTGTACCTCGGATGAGACAGGAGACTGTGGGGACACATTAGTATGATCACTGTCTTGCTAAAAAAGAAACCAAAAAGATGAGATTACAAAATGGAAGCGTGCTCTCGAAAGAAAGGTTTGGCATGAGCTTATGAACTGGCATGCGTGCGCTGAAGATGGGGACATACCTACTGAAATGAATGGACAACTAAGATACATACATGTACTGCAGCACTTTTGTGAACATGGAACATATGAGAACCTCGCTCAGACCAGAAACAAAATATATACTAAAAAATGGCATGGGCTGGAAATCTACATCTGCTTTTCTAACATTGAAAAGGAGATTTCATCTGAACATGAGGAAGAACTTCCTGACTGTGAGAGCCGTTCAGCAGTGGAACTCTCTGCCCCGGAGTGTGGTGGAGGCTTCTTCTTTGGAGGTTTTAAACAGAGGCTAGATGGCCATCTGTCAGGGGTGCTTTGTATGCAATATTTCTGCTTCTTGACATGGGGTTGGACTGGATGGCCCATGAGATCTCTTCCAACTCTATGATTCTATGAATAGTTTAAATATCTGAAGGGATGTCCTAAAGAAGAGGGAGCCAGCTTTGTTCTCTGCTGGAGACCAGGACTCAATGGAGCCACGGATTTCAAAGGCAGGAAAGGAGATCACACCTGAACATTAGGAAGAACTTCCTGACCGTAACAAGAGCTGTTTAACAGTGGAACTCTCTGTCTCAGGGTTCACTGGAGGCTTCTTCCCTGGAGGCTTTTAAACAGAAGCCGCATGGCCATCTGTCAGGAGGGCTTTGATTGTGCTTTTCCTGCACGGCAGAAGGAGGTTGGACAAGGATGACCTATGTGGTCCAACTCTAGGTTTCTATGAATCATGGGAGCTTTGGCAATTTGTTTGCAAGGTCAATTGGTTTTCTGATGGCTTTCAAGAGAGGCAAATTCTTTATATAGAGAGAACCAGGAAACTTAATCTGATCCTTCAACCCACTCAGTATTTCACTCTTCCCCAAAACGTAAATTCTAACTCACCTCATCATTTTCATTTCCACTCGAACTCTTCCGGGAAGATTTATACTGAAAAGCAAATAGGTCATTTTTAATCGTTTTTGCAACATTTCACAGATACCAGGGCTGCCAAACTCATTTTCATCGAGGCCCCCATCAGCCTGATGGTCACCTTCAAAGGGCCTTGGAAGACAACAGAGCAGGACAGCCTTCCAGATGTTCCTGTATCCCAACTCCCATCAGCTCTGATCAGGATGTCTAATGATGAGGATACAGGAGTTGTAGTCCAGCGCCTGGGGAGCCACATAAAAGGACACAGGGGTCCAGATTTGCCCTGCGGGCCTTTTTCAGAAGTGACCTGAGAAACTGCCATGGGAACACTTGGATGATTGGTATTTAACCATCTTGTGGAAGGCTTCTCTCATGTCCCCGCATGAAAAGCTAGAGCTTGACAGATGGGAGTTTACCCTGCTCCCCGGATTCGAACCGCCAATCTGTCAGTCGACCTGTCCTGCTGGCAAAAGGATTTAACCCAACGTTTCTCAACCAAAGATGATCAGAAAACACATCATTTTCTTTTGCTCATGGGGGGAAGTTTTGCCCAATTCTATCGTTGGTGGGGTTCTGAATACTCTTTGATTGTAGGTGAACTATAAATCCCAGCAACTACAACTCCCAAATGTCAAGGTCTACTTTCCCTAAACTCCACTAGTGTTCACATTTGGGCATATTGAGTATTCATACCAAGTTTGGTCCAGATCCATCATTATTGTGAGTCCACAGTGCTCTCTGGATGTAGGTGAACTACAACTCCAAAACTCAAGGTCAATGCTCACCAAACCCTTCCAGCATTTTCTGTTGGTCATGGGAATTATCTATGCCAAGTTTGGTTCGATTCCATTATTGGTGGGGTTCTGAATGCTCTTTGATTGTAGGTGAACTATAAATCTAGAACAGTGGTTCTCAACCTGGGGTCCCCAGATGTTTTTGGCCTACAACTCCCAGAAATCCCAGCCAGTTTACCAGCTGTTAGGATTTCTGGGAGTTGAAGGCCCAAAACATCTGGGGACCCCACGTTGAGAACCACTGATCTAGAACGTGGAACAATGGCTTCAAACTACAAGAGAGGAGGTTCCATCTGAACATGAGGAAGAACTTCCTGACTGTGAGAGCTGTTCAGCAGTGGAACTCTCTGTCCTGGAGTGTGGTGGAGGTTCCTTCTTTGGAAGCTTCTAAACAGAGGCTGGATAGCCATCTGTCGGGAGTGCTCTGAATGCAATTTTCCTGCTAATTGGCAGGGGATTGGACTGGATGGCCCATGAGGTCTCTTCCAACTCTATGATTCTATGATTCTATGATTCTATGATTTCATGAAATGGAACTGATGTTCTTCAACCTGTAAAGTTCGGTTTCTCTCACTCTTGAACAGGGAGCCTCAAACTAAGGCCTGGGGGCTGGATGCGGCCCTCCAAAGTCATTTACCCGGCCCTCGCTCAGGGACCTAAGTCTGAAACGACTTGACACAACAACAACAAAAACAACAACCTTATCTCATCTGCCAGAAGCAGGCACACACTTCCCATTGAAATACTATTTTATATTTGTTAAAATTGTTCTTCATTTTAATTATTGTATTGTTTTAAGTGTTTTCTGACCTACAAATAAGATATGTGCAGTGTGCATAGGAATTTATTCATGTTTTTTTCAAATAATCCGGCCCTCCAACAGTTTGAGGGACTGTGACCTGGCCCTCTGTTTAAAAAATTTGAGGACCCCTGCTCTAGACGATCATCCCCAAATCTAATCCATAACTGACTATATTGTCAAAGGCTTTCATGGCCAGAATCACTGGGTTGTTGTGAGTTCTCTGGGCTGTATGGCCATGTTCCAGAAGCATTCTCTCCTGACGTTTCGCCTGCATCTATGGCAGGGATCCTCAGAGGTTGTGAGGTCTGTTTTCCTAATTTCCAACAGACCTCCCAATCTCTGAGGATGCCTGCCATAGATGCAGGCGAAACGTCAGGAGAGAATGCTTCTGGAACATGACCATACAGCCTGGAAAACTCAAAACAACCTACAATTGACTGTTTTGGTATTGGAATGTTTTTCTTCCCTTTGTCACAGTAAAATCTCTCTGTCTTATTGCCCCCAAATTCTGTGCCTCGGGCTCGCTATGAGCTATCCATCCCTGCAAGGTATTTCTTCCTGTTTCCTTTTCTGCCCCGATTTTTGCTGCTGCAGCCCTCCCTTCCAGGAAATTCAATTTGGCACCTTAATAATGGCAAGAAATCGATTCTGCGGCACGGCTAATGTGAAACAGCAACGATCATCCAAATATCTATTCTTAGAACGCCGTTTTACTCGGAACGCATGATGTCTGGCTGCGTCTGTCTTATGAATGAAACATCTCCCCCAATGCCAGTTTCGTAACGAAGGACGGCGTTTAAATTCAACCTGACACTAGAATTACACTCTGGGAGCCTTTTAGGACCGGAAAGAGAACACTGCCACCTCGTGGTTAAGCATTTAGATTTATCCTGGGTTTCCATTATCAAAGTTACAGGAATTCTAGCAATATCTGGAAGGCCTCCCTTAGAGTCTGATGCAAATTCTGGACTTCTTTTCTACGTATTTATTAATAGCTCATGCAAGTCTGAGAAATGGAATTTGGGGATTGCAAGACTGTGATAAAGGGAAGAAGAACATGATGTATTTCAATAGCAAAAGAGTCCACTGTGGCTTAGGTTTAATGATGATATTCTCGAACGAGAGAAGCTGAACTTATTCCAAACAGTCTCTCCAGTATTTAAGCCTCTCTGCCTCAGAGATCAGATATCAACCTCCTCTCGCTCTTTTGTGCAATTTATGGCACAAGACTTTCATCTCATCTACTTCTTCTCCCCTGGAACTGTGACGATCTTTTTTTTAAAGGGAAGAATTAGCCATTATTATTATTATTATTTAAATCAGACTGTTAAGGTTTTGGGTTGCTGTGAGTTTTCTGGGCTGTATGGTCATGTTCCAGAAGCATTCTCTTCTGATGTTTTGCATCTATGCCAGTCATCCTCAGAGATTCAGGGGTCTGTTGGAACTAGTTAAGTGAGGTTTATATATAAAATCATAGAATATGATTCTATATAGAAGCACCCCCAACAGATGGCTTGAAAGCTTCCAAAGAAGGAGCCTCCACACTATCTGCTTTGAACTGGATTACATGACTCCCAACTGCCGTATAATCCAGTTCAAAGCAGATAATCTGGATTTTATATGGCAGTGTAGAAGGGGCTGGAGTTGGTTGGATAAACAAGTATCACAGGGCCCTTCCACACAGGAATATAACCCAGAATATTAAGGCAGAGAATCCCGCAATATCAGCTTTGAACTAGGATATATGGGGGCCTTCCATACAGCCATATTTATTTACTTTACTTTACTTATATACCGCTCCTCTCAGCCCTCAGGCAACTCAAAGCGGTTGACAATATCAATGCAAAAGATCACAAGACAAGTATAAAGCCATTAAAACTGATTATAGCATCAACAATTAAACATTAGTATAACAATCTATTAGCACCTCAACAGAATATAACCAAGAATATCAAGACAGATCAAAGAATTATAGAATCATAGGGTTGGAGGAGACCTCATGGGCCATCCAGTCCAACCCCCTGACAAGAAGCAGGAATATTGCATTCAAAGCACCCCTGACAGATATCCAGCCTCTGTTGGAAAGCCTCCAAAGAAGTAGCCTCCACCACACTCTGGGGCAGAGAGTTCCACTACCGATTGGCCCGGATGTTTTGATGTTTTCCCATCCTTGTGAGAGGCTTCTCTCATGTCCCCGCATGAGGAGCTCAAGCTGACAGAGGGAGCTCATCCGTGCTCTCCCCAGATTCAAACCTGCAACCTGTCGGTCTTTAGTCCTGCCGGCACAAGGGTTTAACCCATTGCGCCACTGGGGGCAACCCAGTGATTCCGACCATGAAAGCTTTCGACAACACTTTTCAGGATTTCCTTGTTTACAGTCTGCTCAGAGAAATAGGCCACGAAACACAGCCTATTTTTAGGAGCAGCTATGTTTGTATTTAAAAGAATGTATCTAAAATGATGTGTGTGAGTTGCCTCTTTTTCAAAGAGTGTCTTTAAATTGTCTCTAGAAAATAAGAAGACTGGGCTTGTATCACCTTAACTGCAAGGCAGTGAAAAAAGCTCTTTCTGTCCACTTTGTACCAGTCATAAGAAACAGGAAAGGAAAATTAGAATGGAGAGCATTCTTCTGAACTCTTCAATGGGACTGAGATCTCCACAGACAACTAGAATACATAGTTAACTCTAAAGATGCTACTAAACTCAGCTCCTAAATTCCCCTCCATTTCTCTAACAAGGAACTAAGAGACTGCTAATTCCTATTCCTCTTCCTCACCAGGAATTAACAAGCAAAGGCAACTTACTCCTTGAGCAGACAGCCTTCGTGTTATTCAGGCCAGGCATCAGACCGTACCTTGAAATACTCCCTTCGGATTTGCTTGCTACGTCTCCGTTCCTCGTTCTGCCAGATCACAGGCTGCATGTCTGGCCAGTGCGGCTCATCCGGATGGTCCTTTGGATTCTCTAGTGACTGCAGAAGGAAAAGGCTACTTTATTCTTTCAAGTCATACTCTCTTATATCTCTGTGTCGGCCAAAATCCAGCAGAAGGCAAAAATGGCTCCTGGAACCTCCAATTTTGCCCGTTCCTACCATTTTATTCATTTATTTATTTACGACATTTATATGCAGCCCTTCTCACCCCGAAGGGGACTCAGAGCGGGTTACAAGATATATATACATACAATATATTATATTATTAGCATGGTACAATAACGGTTTTAAATATTGCTATATTGTACTATACCAATTATATTGCAATATTATTAGTAATATTCATGTCCAGAGGAGGGCGACTAAAATGATCAAGGGTCTGGAGAACAAGCCCTATGAGGAGCGGCTTGGTATATTGGTATATTGTACTATACCAATTATAACTGGTATATTGTACTATACTAATTATATTGTAATATTATTAGTAATATTCATGTCCAGAGGAGGGCGACTAAAATGATCAAGGTTCTGGAGGACAAGCCCTATGAGGAACAGCTTAAGGAGCTGGGCATGTTTAGCCTGAAGAAGAGAAGGCTGAGAGGAGATATGATAGCCATGTATAAATATATGAGAGGAAGCCACAGGGAGGAGGGAGCGAACTTGTTTTCTGCTTCCCTGGAGACTAGGACGCAATGGAACAATGGCTTCAAACTACAAGAAAGGAGATTCCATCTGAACTTGAGGAAGAACTTCCTGACTGTGAGAGCCATTCAGCAGTGGAACTCTCTGCCCCAGAGTGTAGTGGAGGCTCCTTCTTTGGAAGCTATTAAACAGAGGCTGGATGGCCATCTGTCAGGGGTGATTTGAATGCAATATTCCTGCTTCTTGGCAGGGGGTTGGACTGGATGACCCATGAGGTCTTTTCCACCTCTTTGATTCTTTGATTCTATGATTCTATAATTATATGTAATATAAATATATAATTATATCATATTATTATTACATGTAATATAAATATATAATCATAATATATTATTAGTAGTAGTAGTAGTATATTGTATTACATTATAATATTATAAATATTATATGTATATACAATGTATATATGTATATGTAATATATGTATTATATTTTAAATGCAAATGTCCAGGCCAAATGTGATGTGTTCCATATTTTTATTAATATGTTTTAATCAAGACAGATAAAAATATAATCACACAAGAGCGAAAGAACATACGAACAAGTGTTTAGTTCTTTTTTAAAAAGCTGCCCATCTGTATTTTTAAAAGTTAGCCACTTATAAGCTACTGTTACAACAACGCATGCCTACTAAAAACAGCAAAACATAAAGGCAAAAATAAGACAAACACACATTTACAAAAACACAAAATTAAGAGGTAAACGAACAGATGGTCCCACTGACCATGGTTTTGTGTTTTATTAGCCTAGTCCAGGGGTCCTCAAACTAAGGCCCGGGGGCCGGATGCGGCCCTCCAAGGTCATTTACCCGGCCCTCGCTCTGGGTCAACCTAAGTATGAAACTACTTGAAAGCACACAATAACAACAACAATCCTATCTCATCAGCCAAAAGCAGGGCCACACTTTCCATTGAAATACTAATAAGTTTATATTTGTTAAAATTGTATTGTTTTAAAATGTTTTTTGCACTACAAATAAAGATATTTGCAGTGTGCATGATTTTTTCGAATTATAATCCGGCCCGCCAACAGTCTGAGGGATTGTGACCTGGCCCTCTGTTTAAAAAGTTTGTGGACCCCTGGCCTAGTCCCTTTAAATCAGTGTTTCTCAACCTGGGGGTCGGGACCCCTGGGGGGGTCACGAGAGGGTGTCAAAGGGGTCGCCAAAGACCATCACAAAATACAGTATATTCCGTTGGTCATGGGCGTTCTGTGTGGGAAGTCTGACCTAACTCTATTGTTGGTGGGGTCCAGAATGCTCTTTGAGTGTAGGTGAACTATAAATCACAGCAACTACAACTCCCAAATGTCAAAGTCTATTTTTCTCAAACTCCAACACATTTGGGCATATTGAGTATCCATGCCAAGTTTGATCCAGATCTATCATTGCTTGAGTCCACAGTGCTCTCTGGAGGTAGGTGAACTACAACTCCCAAACTTGAGGTCATTGCTCACCAAACCCTTCCAATATTTTCTGTTGGTCATGGGAATTATCTATGCCAAGTTTGGTTCGACTCCATTATTGGTGGGGTTCAGAATGCTCTTTGATTTTTGCCAAAGAAACAAACACAATCACCAGACTACAAAGCACTGCACTACATGATCATTGCACCACACTGAAAGAAGGCAGATCTTCTGCTAAGAGAAGAATGAACTGTAAACAGTTTAAGGATATATTGGCTACGATGAAAAAAGAATAATGATCCTGCAAGACAGATGAGCGAGGCAGTACAAAATGAAACATGCAAAATAGTCACATTTGCCAAAGAGAGTCGTGTTTGATGTTCGCATCTCCATTACCTGCCAGCCGTATGGCGATGACGGAGAGTTTGCCTCGTCTGCGGACAGGCTAAATGAAAGCAAAATGGGGTTTATGGCACTTTACATTTGATCACTTTCCCCCTCTTATAACCAAGGCAGAAAATTTAGAACATTCTCAAGTGCTTCTCTGTAACCAAATGAACCAGAGAGATAAGGATTTAAGGAGGAAAAAAAACATCCCTAGAATAAAACATCTTGACAACTTTGATGGAAATTATTTTTCTGTCTGAGGCCCAAATTTCTTCATCAGGCCTTTTAATTATTATTATTATTATTATTATTATTGATTCAAAAGCACAGTATGTCACAGCAAATGAGATCTATATGCTGGATTTCGTATCACAAAATCACAAATCGAACTCTTCCCAAGCCTCTAGGACTGTGTGATGTATTTTCGAATGATGCGCGCAGATCCAAATCAGGTGGCCTTTTGCAGTTGACAGATCATGATTTTGTCAATGTTTATTGTTTCCAAATGCCAGCTGAGATCTTTTGGCACGACACCCAGTGTGCCGATGACCACTGGGACCACCTGGATTGGTTTATGCCAGAGTCTTTCCAGTTCGATTTTGAGYTCTTGATAGCGACTGAGTTTTTCCTGTTGTTTTTCCTCAATGCGACTGTCACCCGGTATGGCGACATCAATAATCCAGGACTTTTTTCTTTTCCACAATCGTGATGTCTGGCGTGTTATGTTCCAAAACTTTGCCAGTTTGGATTTGAAAGTCCCACAGTATTTTTGCATATTCATTTTCCACMACCTTTGCAGGTTTATGATCCCACCAATTCTTTGCTGCTGGCAGGTGGTACTTGTGACATAAGTTCCAYTAAATCATTTGGGCCACAGAGTTGTGTCTTTGTTTGTAGTCTGTCTGTGCGATTTTCTTGCAACAGCTGAGGAGATGGTCCATGGTTTCATCAGCTTCCTTGCACAGTCTGCATTTTGGGTCATCCGCTGATTTTTCGATCCTGGCCTTAATTGCATTAGTTCTGATGGCTTGCTCCTGGAKTGCAAGAATCAGGCCTTCTTCTGTCTCCCATTCATGAGCCATCACCAGGTCTTCTCCTTGTCAACTTTTCCTTCAATTCTGTCAAGGAACTGCCCATGCAATGCTTTGTTGTGCCAGCTGTCAGCTCTGGTTTGGAGTGCAGTTTTCTTGTATTGACTCTTTGTCTGTTGTTGTTGTTATTATTATTAGCTGATACATCACACAGTCCTAGACACTTGGGAAGTGTCCGACATGTGATCCAATACAACAACCAGCATAGTGATCTTGTTTGCTGTGTACTAATCTTGTTGTGTTGCAAATAATAATAATAATAATCATCATCATCATAATCATCATCATCCAGCATAGAATCTCGTTTTCTGTGAAATACTGTGGTTTTGTGTCAGTAAAATAATAATAATAATAACAATAATAATAATAATAATAATAATAATAAACTTAATTTTTCTACCCCACCTCCATGTTCCCAAAGAGACTTGGAGCGGCTTACACATGACACAAAGTGCCTAAAACAACACATAAAATCAACACACAATACAATAAAAAGTAGAAAACAATAGCATATAAAACAACTATTTAAAACTAAGAATAATGTCCAATAACCTATAGTGACAAGTGCCGTAAGGCATGGCCAAACTGTAAACAAGCCAAGGGAATGAGATAGTGCAAATAGTAGTTAAGGAATAAGAGCATGGGATGAAAGTGCAGTGCTGTGTCATTAATTGCAGACCATTGGGGCTAGACATTCTCAAAGGTTTGTTTAAACATTAAAGTCTTCTGTTGTCAGCAGTGACATTATATTTTCTCTCCGTGTGTCTCTCTCAATTAATCGCCATTTTGAAATCAGCCCAAAGACTATGAATTTAGGCCACAGGTTTACAACAAAGAAATACTTGCATTAATTACTTTATTAGACAATTACAAACATAGCCTCCATAAAAAAATTCAGATGATGGAATATGAAGCATTACTACGGAGGCACCTTGATGTGAGGCTCTGGTAATTTTATAATAATAAAATAATAATAGAGATTATTTATAATACTTTATTTCTTTCCTGGAAATCCTCTGATGTCTACTGATCCAAAGACCATGGCTTTGAGTAAAGTCAAAGCATGCTTTCATCCCATGTCTTATCTTTCAAAAATTCTTAGATTTTCTTGGCAATCATTAGCCCTTCTAAAGATTAACACGGAGACCAGCTGGTTTCTCAAGTATTCAGAAGCAAAAGACTTCCCAGCGATTAGCCAAAACATTAACTGAACACGAATTCAGCTAAAGGAACCCTGTCAACAAGCTTTCATTCCAGAGATGCCTCCCTTAAAGTGTCCTTCAACACATTTCTTCCGGAAACAGTGTCTCAAAAATCCTTGCTCTCAAGGGCACTTCCTGCAGCCACAAATCCTAGAATCAGTAGCTCTTTGGAGGTAAAGGAGGTCTTTCAAGAAAGAAGGAAATGGAAATGGGGGTCATGGCTACCTTTTTTCTGATTCCACCACCTGTTTTGGCCTATTTCTTGTGCTGGAGGAGGTGGTGTGATTCAGCAGTCTGAAAAAAATGAAACATACAAACAGGTCATTGATGTCAATGAAACAGCAGACAGGAACATGTTGAAGAGCATTAGAATAGCTCCTTAAATTTATTTCCACTGAAATCTCTGGCAAAGTGTCTGGGATCTTATACACCAGAATTTTGCTCATGCTCTTCTACCTGCGGCCCTCCAGGTGTTTGGTTCTCCGACACTCAGAAACCCCGATTTCCAGCTTGTCCAATAGCCAGAGCAAAGAGAGGGGAGGCCAGGGAACAGCACCATCTTGTCTCCTGCATATGCCATCAGTTGGGGACCCCTCCCCGCCAGCACCAACTGCCGCTCTGGGCCGGAGTGAAGGGGGGGGGGGCAGGGGACAGTTCCACCTTGTCTCCTGTGGTATTTTAATAATATAATGTAATATAATATATAATATATTGTATATACATATAATATTTATAATATTATAATGTAATGCAATATAATACTAATAATAGTATGATATAATTATATATTTATATTACATGTAGCATTACTAATAATACTACAGTATAATTGATATAGAACAATACTGCAATATTTAAAACTGATATTGTACTATGCTAATAATAAATAGGAGCCCCCGGTGGCGCAGGGGGTTAAACCCCTGTGCCGGCAGGACTGAAGACCGACAGGTCGCAGGTTCGAATCCAGGGAGAGCGCAAATGAGCTCCCTCTGTCAGCTCCAGCTCCTCATGTGAGGACATGAGAGAAGCCTCCCACAAGGATGGTAAAACATCAAAATATCCGGGCAATCCCTGGGCAATGTCCTTGCAGACAGCCAATTCTCTTACACCAGAAGCGACTTGCAGTTTCTCAAGTCGCTCCTGACATGACCAAAAAAAAAAAAACCCGCTCTGAGTCCCCTTTGGGGTGAGAAGGACTGCATATAAATGCCGTAAATAAATAAATCAATAAAATGGCAGGAATGGGCAAAATTGGAGGTTCCAGGAGCCATTTTTGCCTTCTGCTGGATTTTGGCCAACACAGAGATATAAGAAAGTATGACTTGAAAGAATAAAGTAGCCTTTTCCTTCTGTATGAATAAAAAATAAAGTAGCCTTTTCCTTCTTGTATGTATATATACCTTGGAAGCCGCTCTGAGTCCCCTTCGGGGTGAGAAGGATGGCATATAAATGTCGTAAATAAATAAATGAATGAATAAGTACAAAACACCTGTAAGACTGCAAGTTATCCATGCTAACCTTTCCCTTTCAGTATGCAGAACTATAACTCCCCTTATCCTCACCCAGCCTGGACATATTGGCTGAAGGCTGAAGGCCCATGCACCAGAAGGACATCCTCCTCAGGAAAGATGTTCTGAACTTGCCCTTCGACTACCTTCAATGGTTATTATTCACCTCTTTGAGGCCCATTTTTCCAGGGCCAAAAGAGAGGGGCAAGCCCCATGAAACAAAGTCAGAGGACTTGGGAGGAAGACAGCAAAGAGCATACAAAGACCAGAACAAGGACAGAGAGAAATCAAGGCTCAGTAGGAAACACAAAGAAAAAGAAGGAAAAAACAGGAGTGTCTGGAGTCCACTTGGAAATGCATCCTCTCCTGCTGTTGACAGACACAGTCTCCTCTCTAACCCCAGCACACATCTTTGTATGGAAGAAGTGCCTAAGCACATCCAGCATTCCCTCACTTGAGACATATGGGTTGTTTTTGTTTTTTTCGGGCTATATGGCCATGTTCTAGAGGCATTATCTCCTGACATTTCGCTTGCATCTATGGCAAACATCCTCAGAGGTTGTGAGGACCTCACAACCTCTGAGGATGCTTGCCATAGATACAGGCGAAACGTCAGGAGAGAATGCCTCTAGAACATGACCATATAGCCCGAAAAAACCTACAGCAACCCAGAAAGCAGACAGTTTATTCTGACACAAAATGCATGACTAGAGTCTCAAAAGGCTTGGCATTTGGTTTCAAGGGATGATATGGAAGTACAGCCTGCCCTCCACATTTGTAGGCTTGGCTTTTGCAGATTTGATTATAATGCTCTCTCTAGGAAACTCGTAGTCCTCCAGCTGGACTTCCATTGGAAAGTGACCATAGATTCACACTGGAAGAGCAAGCAATTTCTAAAGTGGGCAGAAGCTGGGCTGACTGTGGGAGCTGAAGGTTGGCAGTTCAAGCCAAGATTGGTATGAGCTCCTACTGTCATCCCAGCTTCTGCCCACCTAGCAGATCAAAAACAGTAACGCGAGTAGATAAATAGATACAGCTTTTAGCAGGGAGGTAATAAAAAGTCACCCATAAAAACATGATGGAGATTTGATCAGGAGGACGACAACAAAGCTTCTCAGCAGGGAAGGAGGAGTGATCACACGTCAGACATTTCCCAAGTGTCTAGGACTGTGTGATGTATCGGTGAATAAAGCATGCAGATACAAGTAGGGTGGCCTTTTGCAGCTGACGGGTGGTAATTTAGTCAGTGCCGATTGTTTTTAAGTTCAGGCCAAGGTCTTTAGGCACTGCACCCAGCGTGCCAATCACCACTCGGACCGCTTTGACTGGTTTGTGTCAGAATCTTTAAAGTTCTATCTTTAAATCCTCATTATTATTGTTTGTTGTTGTTGAGAACTCATCTCTAGGAATCTCTTAGTCCTCCAGCACAACTTGAACAGAGAATTGTAATGAAACTAGAGATCCTTAAAGATGTTTTCTCACAAGGGTGTACCTATTTCTCTTTTGGACTACTGATAAAATTGGGTCTATTCTATGAATAGATATTTTGTTTCCCAATTGGAGTCCCCGGTGGCACAGTGGGTTAAAGTGCTGCTAAGCTTGTTGACCGAAAGGTCGCAGGTTCGATTCCGGGGAGCGGCGTGAGCTTCCGCTGTCAGCCCTAGCTTCTGCCAATCTAGCAGTTTGAAAACATGCAAATGTGAGTAGATCAATTGGTACCGCTCCAGCGGGAAGGTAATGGCGCTCCATGCAGTCATGCCGGCCACATGACCTTGGAGGTGTCTATGGACAACGCCGGCTCTTCGGCTTAAAAATGGAGATTAGCACCACACCCCAGAATCAGACATGACTGGACTTAATGTCAGGGGACAACCTTTTCCCAATTTTTGGGGAAACCTCTCCCTGATTATTTTTCCTTTGTACAAAGGTAGTATACAAATACTTAAAAAATAAAACATTAACAATTATAAGACCCTGGTGAGGGAATTGTTATTGTTCATGACTCTCCTTATACTGGACTTTCTCAAAATTTCACACTTCCTCATACTCTGACCCCCTTCTCTTAAAATGCAAGAACGGTGCAGGCAACCCTTTTGTTTTCAACATGAACATGCCATAAACGCCAAATACCTGGAAGCACGTCCCGCAACCCTGGTCCTCTGGAAAAGCTTTTCACTGAACGAAGTCCTATAGCTTAAGGGCCTTCGTCTGAGTTCGCATTTCATGCACACCAAAACCCAAAGGCGGAGGAAGGAAGCAGTAAAAGGTTGATAGGAGAGGACAGGGAAGCCATTAGTACAGTGAGAAGGAAGGACAGGTCAGAGGAGAGAATAAATAGGGTTAGAAAGAAAACATGCTTCACGGTCCAGCTGTGCCTTGTTTTCCAGGTATGTTTTCAAGATTTGGAGGAGACTGGACATCCAGGTTTTTAAAGGCACTCTCCAAGTCATAGAATCATAGAACCATAGAGTTGGAAGAGAACCCCAAGTTCCACCAGTCCACCCCCCTTCTCCCAGGCAGGAAAGGCACAATCAAAGCATCCCCATCAGATGGCAACCCTGTCTCATAGACATTAGTAAGTTCATGGAGAAATAGGGATACATAATAAAAAAATCCTAGAGTTAGAAGGGACCCCCAAGGGCCATCAAATCCAACCCCCTTCTGCCAGGAAGGACACCATTCAATCCCTTCAGACAGATGGTGATTCAGTGCAACCACACTTTTTTCTGCCAGGCAACAAAAGCCTTCCCAATTGATGGCCATCTGACCTCTGTTAAAAAGCCTCCAAAGGAGCCTCTACTGGACTTAGAGGAAGAGAGTTCCACTGTAGCGCAGCTCTTCTTGATGTTCAGGTGGAATCTCCTGTTCCTTCTTATGGTCAGGAGGTTCTTCCTGATGTTCAGGTGGAATCTCCTTTCCTGCCATTTGAACGCATGGCTCCACTGAGTCATAGTCTCCAGGGCAGAAGGAAACATGGCCTGCTTCTTCTTCCTTAGGACTCCTTTCCAATACTGAAACATGGCTATGTCTAATGCAACCTTCTAAATGCTAAAGCTTATCCCAATTCCAGGTAATCAAGTCATATGGCTAAAGCCATTCATAGATAAAATCATAGAATTATAGAGTTGGAAGAGACCTCATGGGCCATCCAGTCCAACCCCATTCCTTACAATCAACCCAGTTTTGCACTACTTACCTATTTTAAGGTGGACAAATGACACTTAGGTGTTAAAAGAGAAGAAAGAGACTCCGTTCATGTGGGCCAATATCAAATCCCACACATAAGTACACATTAGTTTTTTGATACATTTTTTTTTTAAAAAAAACGATGCCTGTATTTGGATACAATATGCATACAGAGCTTTCCCTGCTGTTGTGAGCCAGGGGGGCCAAATACCTGTTTTTTTGTTCCTGTTGAAGGAGCTGGGCAGCTATTTTCCTTAGGTCAGTCACTTCCTTCAATTCGTCATCTTCCTCTACCAATACCTGTTCTTTCTGAACCCTATGAAGAAGTGACACAAAATGTGTTTCGATAGCAGGAAACACCACAGCTATGGAAGAACTACAATCTTCCCCCATGACTCCTAGCCAATATTATGCTAGTCTCGCACTCTCTCTCTCTAAATATATATTTACCGTATATACTCGAGTATAAGCCGACCCAAATATAAGCCGAGGCACCTAATTTTACCACAAAAAACTGGGGAAATGGATTGACTCGAATATAAGCCGAGGGTGGGAAATGCAGCATTTATGGGTCAATTTCAAAATAAAAATAGATACCAATAAAATTACATTAATTGAGGCATCAGTTGGTTAAATGTTTTTGAATATTTACATAAAACTGTAATTCAACATAAGACTGTCCAACTCTGATTCAACCATTATTCTAACCTTCTTCAATGTAAATATGCTTACGTATCCTTCCAATAATAATAGAGTAAAATAATAATAGTAATAATGATAGAGTAAAATAATAAATGTAACAATAACAATAATAAATAAAAATAATAAATTTAATAACAACAATAATAAAATAATAACAACAACAAAGTAAAATAATCAATAACATTGACTCGAGTATAAGCCGGGGGAGACTTTTCAGGCTAAAAAAAGGACTGAAAAACTAGGCTTATACTCGAGTATATACAGTATATGGAAACAAAGAAAGCAAGCTTTTGGTATAGACCAGTGGTTCTCAACCTGGGGTCCCCAGATGTTTTTGGCCTTCAACCCCCAGAAATCCTAACAGCTGGTAAACTGGCTGGGATTTCTGGGAGTTGTAGGCCAAAACACCTGGGGACCCACAGGTTGAGAACCACTGATCTACAGTATCTATGTTTGTATGTATTTTCCAAGATGACTCCAGAGAGCACTGTGGCTCCAACCAAGAACAGATCTGGATTAAAGTTGGCACACAGACCCCGAACCCCATGATGAACAGAAAATACTGGGAGGATTTTGGGGAGGACCTGGGATGATAGGAGCTGCAGCCCTCCAACATTCAAAGAGGACTGTGACTCCCACCAACAATTGAGCTGGACCAAACATGGCATATGGACTCACCATGACCAACAGAAAATACCAGCAGGAATTTGGGGAGATTGACCCAGGGTGGTGGGAGTTGCAGTTCAACCAAATCCAGAAAGCCTCATGGACTCCACCAAGGATGGATCTGGACCAATCTTAGTATACAGACCATTCATGACCAATTTTAAAAACTACCAGTGTTTGGAGAAACTGACCCTTGAAGATGGGAGTTGTTTTTTACCCATGTCCATATGCATTTTCTAAGGTGTCCTTTCTTAAAATCCAAAACCAAACAATGAGTACTTCTAATGTTTTTATCCTTACGAAACCCCTAATCCAGGCTTTACTAGTATAAAATAAAAGCAAAGACTCATATGTGAATGCAATCAGAGGGGTACGCACCTCTTTTCATCTCCCCAGTCTTCGCCCGATTCGGTTTTTGGGGACTTCTCAGCCTGCTTCCCTCGATCCTTTCACACCATGATAAAGGGAAGAAAAAGAGCACAGAAGTCCCATTATCGCACTGTACAGCTTTCACAAAGACCGGAACTGTTAAGATATTGAATATACTTTGTAGTGTTACTACCTTGATGTACGAGATCGATGGCCCGCTTGGCAGCTCTCCTTGGTCGCAAGATGCCACATCCTCTGAGCTGGGGTCAAGGTAATCACACACATCAGGATCTAATGGGATAAACAGCAGCAGAAACAATGGGAGAAAGGAAGAAAAGGATTCAAGGTAATTGACAAAAGAGGAAGGACTTGCTTCTCTGCAGACCTTGATGGGCTGCAATCCCAATCATCATTATTATTGGGTTGTTGTAGGTTTTTTTGGGCTATATGGCCATGTTCCAGAGACATTTTCTCCTCACATTTCGCCTGCATCTATGGCAAGCATCCTCACAGGTAGTGAGGTCTACTGGAACTAGGAAAGTGGGTTCATATATATGTGGAATGACCAGGGTGGGGCAAAGGACTCTTGTCTGTTGGTGCTAAGTGTGAATGTTTCAACTGACCACCTTGATTAGCATTTGATGGCCTGGGAGGTAATTAGCTGTGCCTCATTGTTTCCCCTCTGTTGGATGCTTGCCATAGATGCAAGCGAAGCGTCAGGAGAAAATGACTCTAGAACATGGCCATATAGTCCGAAAAAACCTACAACAACCCAGTGATTCCGGTCATGAAAGCCTTCGACAATATATCATTATTATTGCCTTTATTTATATCTCACTTTTTCTTCCCACCTCGAGCCATCAGAAAAGGTGTATTATTATTATAAAATATCTAAATAAACAAACAAATAAATAAAATGACATTTTAAACTCACCACTCCCTGCAAAATCCCACTCACACCCTCCCAGCGGCATGGCTCGCATTCTCCTGCTCAAAGGCCTGATAATTTAGGCTTAGTGGGAGATAACATCCAGCTAAAAATGATGGTCCATGCATTCCTAATTACTATCATAGACATTCTTAATAATACTGTCAAGTATTTACTACCTGACTGTAGTCCTCTTCCCCAACACTTCTGCCCAAGACAGGCAAATCTGTGGCTGCAACGCCAATTTTAGGGAGTCAATGGTTGCAAAGGTAAACTCTCTTCAAGTTACACTCCTCTGCTCCTTTCTGCTTTCAGGCGCATCGTGGTTTTACTCTCAAATTGAAAAATGGGTGCTCAGTACAACAGCTGGGCACTCACAGACATGCTTCAAACAGGGATATGTTCAAGCCTTGGACTCTATGATTTTGTCAATGTATTCAAAAAGTTTATTCAAAAAATATCACCCCAGTTTGTAAAACAAAGAGACACATTTTGCCTCTAGTTCTGAATAGTATCAAGCAAACACAAAGCATTTGCTCTCGTATAAAGAACTGAGAAAAGGAAACTAACACAAGGAATTGCATGATAAGACTCTGTATATTGTCTTATATAGTTTTTGCTCCTCTTGCATAGTAAAGATAAAGGTTTCCTGACACTAAGTGTAATCATGTCCAACTCGGGGGGGGGGGGGGGGGGGGCTCATCTCCATTTCTAAGTGAAGAACCGGCGTTGTTTGTAGAGACCTCCAAGGTCATGTGGCCAGCATGACTGCACAGAGTGCCTTATCTTCCCACAGAAGCAGTACCTATTGATCTACTCACACTTGCATGTTTTCGCACTGCTAGGTTGGCAGAAGCTCGGGTTAACAGCGGGAGCTCACCCCGATCCCTGAATTCGAACTGCCAACCTTTTGGTCAGTGAGTTCAGCAGCTTAGCGGTTTAACACGCTGCACCACCCATTCCTCTTGCATAGTTTTTTAAAAGTAATATTGGGGAAAGGAAGCATATAAACTTAACCTTTTTTTAAATAGAATAATGAATAAACAGTTTCTATAAGCCATTCTTTCACCGAGGAAAAAAACTGAGTGATTTTTTTCCAGATTTTTCTACACTGTTCTTCATCTCAGACCTACCCAACTCTAAAATAAAATAATAATAATAATAATAATAATAATAATAATAATAATAATAATATAAAACTATGTTGTTCCAAGACTATGGAACAAGCCAGTAAAAGTGATTCCAATGGTGACTGGCACACTGGGTGCAGTGCATATGACAAAGAACTGGTAGGATCATAAGTCTGAAAAAGTTACAGAAAATGAACATGTCAAACTACTCAAACTACAAAGACTTCTAAATTCAGACTGACAAGAGTTTTGGAGCACAATATTCCTGAGCTCACGACTGTGTAAAAAACCAAGTATGGATTGTTGATGTTGCAATCCCAGATGACAGCAGGATTGAAGAAAAACAACTGGAAAAGTTGACACAATATGAGGATTTAAAGATCGAACTGCATAGATTCTGGCACAAGCCAGTCAAGGTGGTCCCAGTAGTGATCGGCACACTGAGTGCAGTGCCTAAAGACCTTGGCCTGCCCTTAAACACAATCGGCGCTGACAAAATTACCATCTGCCAGCTGCAGAAGGCCACCTTACTGGGATCTGCAAGCATTATTCGCCAATACATCACAAAGTCCTAGACACTTGGGAATTGTCCAACGTGTGATCCAATACAACAGCCAGTAAAGCAGTGGTTCTCAACCTGGGGTCCCCAGATGTTTTTGGCCTACAACTCCCAGAAATCCCAACCAGTTTACCAGCTGTTAGGATTTCTGGGAGTTGTAGGCCAAAAACATCTGGGGACCCCAGGTTGAGAACCACTGCAGTAGAGTGATCTTGTCTGCTCTGGACTCATCTTGTTGTGTTTCTAATAATAATAATAATAATAATAATAATAATAATAATAATAATAATAATACATTTTATTTATTTTCTGCCTCTCCTTATGGTTTGAGGTGCGGTACAACAAAGTCGAAACATATGAACATGAAATACATACATAAAAACACACCAGTTTTTTAAAAACGCACACCAAACACAACATACAGCTGTGATGGCATGCAAATCCAAAATTTATAATTCAGCGTTGACTGGGTTGGCCTACCGGAAGAGATGGCTCTTCAGCTGTGCCTTAAACCCTGATATTTTCCAATAGTTTACCATAACAACTCTGGCATGGCTTTGAGGAGACTAAAGACATTCACTTTTATTTGGTACTGCATTTAAATAAATTGTTGTTTCAATAATCCAACATTTCAACCAGCAATCAAAAGCCTGGCTTCTGATACCGGCTCACGGCAAAAAAATAAATAAACCCAAACCCAACAATTTGAATGTATAAAGCAAGTCTACCTTCCCGGGGATCAGGCATACCTTTATGCAACTCAGGTTTGTTTCCTATTAATTGATTGTCGTTTCTGTGGGTCTGCTCCCGAGTCGATTCTGAGACCTGAGAGTGAAGGCTGATTGTGTCATCATCAGAGGGCTGAAAAAAGCAGTCAAGAGCATCACCTACATATTGTACTTGTTCTTTCTGCTAAACCTTGCAGCACAAAACACTCTTCCCGGCCGTCACTGGAAGGAGACCAGATGAGAGGCCTACGTCCTGAAAAGGCAGGCATTGCTCTGCCAAGGCATTGCTGTCCAGCCAAGAAATGGGTTAAACTAACTGAGAAACTCCAGTAGCATATTCACAAAAGACCAAGGTGATTAGGTTGTGCTTGCACAAATCCATCAGAGTTTCTTCATCATCATCATCATCATCATCATCACTACTACTACTACTACTACTACTACTAATTTGTATTCTGCTTTATTTCGCTAGAGACTCAAAGCGGCTTCTCTAACTTTGCCGCAATGGAGGTTTACCAAATTATTGTACTTGTACTTATTGACCGCCACTCTCAGCCCCAGGGGCGACTCGTGGCTTATTATTATTATTATTATTATTATTATTATCGTGATTATTATTGTTATTACTATATTTACTCAATTTTAATGCTCACCTTTTTTGACTAAATTACCTCCCCAAAATTAGGGTGTGTATTAGATTTGTGTAAAATATTAAATCCTTTTTTGGGTTTCAGGGTTTTGAAATTTGAGGTGAACATTAGATTCGATAGCACATTAGACAAGTAAATACGGGTATTGATGATGATGATGATGATGATAATAATAATTTGTATCCTGCTTTATCTCTCTAAAAAGAGACTCAAAGTTGCTTCACTACATTTACTTCAATGGAGTGATTGTTTATCTAGTTGGACAGATGGTTATTATATACTGTATATACTCAAGTATAAGCCTAGTTTTTCAGCCCTTTTTTTAGGCTGAAAAAGTCCCCCTCGGCTTATACTCTAGTCAAGGTTATTTATTATTTTACTCTGTTATTGATATTATTATTTTCATTTCATTTATTATTTTATTCTATTTATTATTATTACATTTATCATTTTACTTTATTATTATACATTTATTATCTTACTGTATAATTGTTGTTATTGCTACATTCATTATTTTACTCTTTTTATTATTATTGTTATTATTACATTAGTTATGTTGCTCTCTTTATTATTATTGGAAGGATACGTAAGCACATTTACAATGAAGAAGGTAAATAATCATTTAATCAGAGTTGGATAGTCTTATCTTAAATTACAATTTTTGTAAATATTCAAAAATATATAACCTACTGATTCCTCAATTAATGTAATTTAATTGGTATCTGTTTTTATTTTGCAATTTACCAGTAATTTGTATCTTGTGTTATCTCTCTAAAAAGAGACTCAAAGCAGCTTCACTGACTGTACCGCAATGAAGGGACTGTTTATCTGGTATTATTATGATTATTATTCCACTTTATCTCTCTAAAAAAGAAACTCAAAGTGGTTCAGAATCAAATCAATACAATATAATTTACAACCTAAAATACACAAACATAGAATTAAACAGTATTAAAAATAATAAACCCTTTAAATTAATTAAAAACCTATTCATCTAGCCAAAACCACGGCACCTCCAGACTTGATCTGTCAGGATGAGGCTATTAAGGCTAAAGTATGGACAACAATGCACACCAGCTGTCTCACTGTGCCTCACAGTTATTCCAAAATTATGTTTGATAGCATCAAGCATAGAAAGGGTATTATAACCAAAGTATGATTTCCTCAGTCGACATTAAGAGACCTCAAGCAGAGCATGAGAAAAACCTGCACAAAACAAACAGGGAAGAAGTGTTTATCCTCTCCAACCTCCTTCCTGCTGAGCAATTCTAGAAAAGGGCAGACTTACTTCTGTGGTGGATAATCTTTTATCTCCATTATCGCTGCCGATGCCAGAGTCTGGGCCGTGGTTTTTGTTTGGATAGAAATCTTCTATACTGTAAGAAAGAAGAGCCGCATTATGGCAAATACAAGTGAGCAAACTTTAGTTTTCTGAAGCATGGAGTGCCTTCTCTCTGGAAGCAAGATGAGACTGCTTCGCTCGTTCTTCCTATAAAATTTGACAAAGAAGGTAACTTAGGACCTTTACTTCTCCAATGATGCAATCAGACCACCCAAAAGGTTCGTTTTCCTTTCATCGCAGTCACAGAACTCCTATTTTATAGCTATGCTTCTATGTTTTTCTCTCCTCATGCCAAATACTATGCATTCTGCACCCTGTATCTGTACCAGGAATCATAAGACTGCCTGCTCTCTTTGCTCTGATTTGTCCCTTCATTCCACTTGCCTTAGAATTGATAACAATATAACATAACAATAACAACAAATGGGTTTCTGTGAGTTTTCCAGGCTGTGTGGCCATGTTCCAGAAGCATTCTCTTCTGACGTTTCACCCACATCTATAGAAGGCATCCTCAGGGATGAAATTCAGAAGAGAATGCTTCTGGAACATAGCCATACAGCCTGGAAAACTCTCAGCAACCCAGTGATTCCGGCCATGAAAACCTTCAACAATCTATATAAATGAAAATGTAATGTTCGTTTGTGGGATTAACTTAACTCAAAAACCACTGGACGAATTGCCGCCAAATTTGGCCACAAGACGCCTACTAACCCAAGGAGTGACCATCACTCAAAACAAATTGATTTTGTCATTTGGGAGCTGTAGTTGCTGGGATTTATAGTTAATCTACAACCAAACAGCATTCTGAACTCCACCAATGATGGAATTGAACCAAATGTGGCACACAGGACTCCCATGACCAACAGAAAACACTAGGAGGGTTTGGTGGGCATTGACCTTGAGTTTGGGAGTTGTGGTTCACCTACATCCAAAGAGCACTTTGGACTCAAACAATGATGGATCTGGACCAAACTTGGCACGAATATTCCATATGCCCAAATATAAACACTGGTGGAGTTTGGGGAAAATGGACTTTGACATTTGGAAGTTGTAGTTACTGGGATTTATAGTTCACTTACAACCAAAGAGCAATGACAGAATTGGGGCAAACTTCCCACACAGAACACCCATGACCAACAGAAAATACTTAAGGCCATCCAGTCCAACTCCCTTCACCAGGGCAAGAAAACGTAATCAAAGCCCTCCTAACAAAGAGCCATCCAGCCATAGATATAGATAGATAGATATGATTCACACACACACATATACAGAGATAGAGTATGATAGATTTGAAAGGAACCCCTAAACAAGGTCAATTCTATGTTGAATGTTCCAGAGTAGGCTAACCAGACAACCTCTACATCAACACAAGCATAAAGAAATTACATATTTTAGAAACCAACACTTTCTCATTGCTTTATTTTCCAGACTGGGCCACAGCAACATGTGGCAGGGGATGGCTATTACAATAATAAATGTATTACCCGCCTCTCACTGCGGCTCGAGGCAGGCACAACATTGTTAAAATAGGAGATAAAACACTATGAAAACACATACAACATGATACAAGTTAAATCCACTGATGAAATGCAGATTAAAATTCACATCTTAAAACTGACTGGGACGGCCTTCTGCCAGAAGAGATGGATCTTAAGCTGTGTCTTAAATTCAGACAGCTGGTTTAGCTGCTATGGGATCTCTTCCTACTTCCACAAACTTCTTTCAGGGCTGATGAAAGGGGGTCCTCTAGATGATGATCATCAGTCTGATTCTGGATGGATGGAGTCAATGTAAAACTCAGAGGACCTTAGGGTCCAATGGGGCCATTGATTGTATGGGAAAAGGCCATTCTGTAGGGAACCTGGACCCAAACCATGGAGGGCTTTAAAGGACAAAACCAACACTTTGTACTTTGCCCTGAAACTCGTTGGTGTGGAGTTACTTTAATATGGAACAATATGCTCACTCTTGGATGTTCCTGGAACCAATCTGGCTGCCATGTTTGAAACTAACTGGAGTTTCTGATCTCCTTACAAAGGTAGCCCAATGCACAGCGCATTGTAGAGGTCCAATCTTGAGGTGACCACCATTTTTAGGTCCTCAGATTCTAGGAAGGAGCACAGCTGGCAAATCGGGGAACAAGACCTCCTGGCTGTTGTCGTATCTCCCTGGGCTGAGCTTTGGAGAGACAGGTCCAGGAGTTGCGAACACAGTCTTTTAGGGGGAGTGTAACCCTATCCAGAACTGCCCTCAGATGAGGATCCTTGGTGGTAAGCTCCTCTGTTTTGTCTGGATTCAATCTCACTATGTTCTTCCTCCTCTAGCCCTCCAGGCATTCATTCAGAGGAGACACGCAATCCTTAGCTGAGGCTGTTTTTGAAGGCATGAAGAAATATACGAGGGTTATCCATAACATTCCATAACATACCTCAAATGATATCAGGAAAGTGTTCAAATATGAAGCACTGCTTTGGACCTTAATAAAACATCAACTTATTAAATCATGGATAATAATGAAATTTATGTAGATGGCAGATGTAGTTTCTCAAGTTGCTCCTGACACACACACACAAAAGTTCTGCTGTGCATTTAAGTGGGGGAAAAGAGACTTTGGGTAATACTTAATGACACAATAGAGATTAGAAAAGTGAGTAATTTAAGGAAACACAGTGAGCCCTCCTTCTTACATTGGCAAAATATACTGTATTTCTTCCACTGTAAGACACCATTGATTGTGAGGTGCACCCCCATTTCAATACCAACAAAAAGACATAAGATACACTGACGATTTTAAGACACACCCCATTTTTAGAGTAGTTTATATAGGAAAAAAGGTATGTCTTAGAACGGAAGAAATGCAATATCTCAGCATTCTGGGGATAAATATAAGGGGATGAATTTCAAAGACTTACCTGTCTGTGAGCGGCTGGGAGGGGATCCTCTTGCCCAAAGAGGGCAAGTCCAGAGAATCTGGCTTCTTATCCATTCTGAGGCAGGCTTGGATGCTGAGGAATTTAAAGATGTGTACTTTGCCCTTTAGACAGATCTGTTGTGAAGACATAAAAACCACACAGACTTAGCAAAGAATTCATTCACAGGAACGTTCTGAGAGCATTTCATTTACTAGATGTAAATCCAGAAATTATCATATTTACACTATTCTAATGCACAATTCAATGTAATGCACATCTCAATTTTCAAAACCCTGAAACCTAAAGAAGTATTTGCAGGCAAATGTAATGCACAGTGACAAAAATTGTGCTCTTCGTAATTTGGCCAAAAAAGGTACATATTACAGTCGCTATCTGCTTAGAATTCCTTCTTTAAAATCAAAGAGTGAGCTTCCAGCAATGGAAAGGAAAACCTTGGGTGCATCTATGCTGTAGAATGAATCCACTTTAATTGCCTGGTTCAGTGCTATGGAATCCTATGAGTTGTAGTTTGACATAGTCTCAAGCCTTCTCCGCCAAAGAATGCTGATGCCTCACCAAACCAAAGGAACCCCCAGTGGCGCAGTGGGTTAAACCCCTGTGCCGGCAGGACTGAAGACTGACAGGTTGCAGGTTCGAATCCGGGGAGAGGCAGATGAGCTCCCTCTATCAGCTCCAGCTCCTCATGCGGGGACATGAGAGAAGCCTCCCACAAGGATGATAAAAACATCAAATCATCCAGGCGTCCCCTGGACAACGTCCTTGCAGACAGCCAATTCTCTCACACCAGAAGCGACTTGCAGTTTCTCAAGTCACTCCTGACACGACAAAAACAAACAAACAACCAAACTACAAATCCCAGGATTGCATAGCATTGAGTGATGGCCATTAAATTAGAGATAATATCCTTCAAAGAGGAGCTCATGAAGTAGCTTCTCCTTTCGTTTGGCTCAGAACTAAGATGACCATATGATAAAAATCTAATTTGCACCCAAATTTTGGCAATTTAGCCAAAAAAAGGTGAGCATTAGAGAGTACCATATATACTCAAGTACAAGCTGACCCAAATATAAGCCGAGACATAGAATTTTACCACAAAAAACTGGAGAAACGTATTGACTAGAGTATAAGCCGAGGATGGGAAATGCAGCAGCTACTGGTAAATTTCAAAATAAAAATAGATACCAATAAAATTACATTAATTGAGGCATCAGTAGGTTAAATGTTTTTGAATATTTACATAAAACTGTAATTTAAGATAAGACTGTCCAGCTCTGATTAAACCATTCTAACATTCTTTAATGTAAATGTGCTTACGCATCCTTCCAATAATAATAGAGTAAAATAATAAATGTAATAAAAATAATAACAGAGTAAAATAATGGAAATGTAATAACAGTAATAATAGATTAAAATAATAAATGTAGTAATAACAATAATAAAGAGTAAAATAATAAATGTAATAATAGAGTAAAATAACAAATATAAAATAATAATAATAATAATAATAATAATAATAAAGAAGTAAAATAATGAATAATCTTGACTTGAGGAGAAGCGGAGGGGAGCCTTATCAGCCTTAAAAAAGGGATGAAAAACTTGGCTTATACTTGAGTATATATGGTAAATAGGGTACTCTTAAGACAGTTGAACAAGGCTCACGAGGTCCATCAACCAGTGACCAGTGAAGGTACTCATTTTTATTTTATTTTTTGCATTTATAAAGCACTGCCAAAGTCACTCCGGAATATGGCCACCTCACTGCTCCCAAGATAGACCCAGCCTCGGGCCAATTTCACTACAGACATAGCCACTTAAGTTCTAGGAGGCAGTCAAGCAGAAAAGTTGCTTTCCCAAGTGAGTTTTAGCTACAGGCGGTTGGCTAAATAAGTATCTACTACAACCCTCTCCTTCTCCCTAAACAGAGGAAAATGAAAGGGTTTTACAAACCTGAGCCGGAGGCATCTGCATTGGATTGTTATCCAAAATCATTACTTGCAAGTGACGTAGCTTCCTATAACAGACTGGTATTTCTGTGATTTTATTGCAAGAGAAGTCTAGCTTGACCAAGGGAAGATCTCCTAATTCTGTCAGTGAGAAAAAAGAAAATCCACAGAGTGTGTTAGATATTACAGAATACAGTACTTCAAGAGACTGGATATTGGAGAAAATAGATCATGACCTGTTAGGATCACTATTTTATTTATTTATTGTAACAGGAGCGAATCAAGGGTACAGTTTATTGTATTTTTAAAAAACCCACAAAGTTTGAAAACTTGGAATTATATTAAATGTACTTTGACCAGTAGCTGGCCACTTGGAGTGCCTCTGGTGTTGCTATAAGAAGGTCCTCCATTGTGCATGTGGCAGGGCTCAGGTTGCATTGTAATAGGTGGTCTGTGGTTTGCTCTTCTCCACACTCGCATGTCGTGGACTCCACTTTGTAGCCCCATTTCTTAAGGTTGGCTCTGCATCTCATGGTGCCAGAGCGCAGTCTGTTCAGCGCCTTCCAAGTCGCCCAGTTTCCTGTCTGCCCAGGAAGGAGTCTCTCATTTGGTATCAGCCACGGATTGAGGTTCTGGATTTTAGCCTGCCACTTTTGGACTCTCACTTGCTGAGGTGTCCCTGCAAGTACCTCTGTAGATCTTAGGAAGCTGTTTCTTGATTTAAGACATTGACATGCTGGCTGATATCTGAACAGAGGATGGGCTGGAGATGTCACTGCCTTGGTCCTTTCACTATTGTCTGCTACTTCCCGGTGGATGTCAGGTGGTGCAATACCGGCTAAGCAGTGTAATTTCTCCAGTGGTGTAGGGTGCAGACACCCTGTGATAATGCAGTAGTTAGGATCACTGACCATCAGGGTATATAGATCATGAACTGCTGAGATCACCATTTAACGGGGCTAGCAGAGTTTATTTGGTAATAGATGATTGTAGATATTTTGTTTCTGTTTGATGTTTTCAGAAGACAGTGATGCAAGCAGACTTCTTTTAAAGATAACAAGTTTGTTTACTGGTAACGTCAAGTATTTAAAGATAAAGGCACATTTCTTGTCAAGGGTTAAAAACTTCAGTAACTTTTCAGAGAGTTTGTATCTTGAACTTATAATCTTTAACAGTTTCTTCATAGGGTTGTTGTAAGGTTTTTTCAGGCTATATGGCCATGTTCTAGAGGCATTCTCTCCTGACGTTTCACCTACATCTATGGTAAGCATCCTCAGAGGTAGTGAAGTTTCTTTATAAAATACGTTGCTTTATACACTCTCTTTAATAAGAGTTTACTTTCGAAGAAGACACAAGCCTCAACAGTTTCTAACTTCCTAACATGAGTTTCGGCACTCTGACAGACTTCTAGACTCAAGCTCATTTAAGGCTCAAACACACTTCTCAAACAGTCATTCCTCAACCGACATTCCCTAACTGTCATCCTATTTAAACCTGAACATTCTAAACTGTCACTGAGTCAGCCACGTGACCTGCAGCCCCTCCCACTGCTTTAGGTATATAGAGATAAGGAAACTTCAAACCAAATAAGACATATACTTCAGATTATAAAACAATATATAAAACAGATAAACATCGTAAGGCAGTGTTTCTCAACCTTCCTAATGCTGACCCCTTAATACAGTTCCTCGTGTTGTGGTGACCCCCAACCATAACATTATTTTTGTTGCTACTTCATAATTGTCATTTTGCAACTTAATGAATCGTAATGTAAATATCTGATATGCAGGATGTATTTTCATTCACTGGACTAAATTGATCACAAATACACGATATGCCGAAATTTGAATACTGGTGGGGTGTGGGGTTGATTTTGTAATTTGAGAGTTGAAGTTGCTGGGATTTATAGTTCACCTACAATCAAAGAGCATTCTGAACTCCACCAAAAATGGCACACAGAACTCCCATAACCAACAGAAAATGCTGGAAGAGTTTGGTGTGACCTTGAGTTTTGGAGTTGTAGTTCACCTACATCCAGAGAGCACTGTGGACTCAAACAATGATGGATCTGGCACAAATACATAATACTCAATATGCCCAAATGTGAACCCTGGTGGAGTTTGGGGAAAATATACCTTGACATTTGGGAGTTGTAGTTGCTGAGATTTATAGCTAACCTACAATCAAAGAGCATTCTGAACCCTACCAATGATAGAATTGGCCAAAATTCCCATACAGAACCCCCACGACCAACAGAAAATACTGTGTTTTCTGGTGGTCTTTGGCGACCCCTCTGACACCCCTTCGCGACCCACCCAGGGGTCCCGACCCCCAGGTTGAGAAACACTGATATAGAAGAAGCTTGAGAAGGTTGCTTCCTCTAACATTGGAATAGGAGCGCGGGGTGGGGGGGATGGTAGCTTACCATCAGGTAGAATGTGAAGACTATTTCTCCTCAAGTTTAATTCTTTTAGCGACTGTAATTTTCCTATTTGCTGGGGAAGTACCTGGATTTCATTGCAGCTGATATCCTAAAGAAAAGAGACTGCGAGTCAAAGACCAGACAGTTTGATTGAATTGTGAAGAAGAGGAGCAGCTTAACATTTCAGCTTTTAAAAAAAAAAAAAGATAAAGTTCCAAGAGGATGATAGTAACCCTGATCTTCGATAACACTATGCAACACCTGAGTTATAAATGTCATTTTCTCAGTGGTTCTATCATAAAAACATGGAAAAGGTTTATTAAATGCAAACACTTTGTTTTTGCAGGACATCCTGCAGCACATTTTGCTATAGTTTTTCAATTAATCTCTCATAGAGTCTTAACCAATTCAACAGAGTTTGTGGCAGCCTCAAAAACTAAGTTTCTGGAGTAGAAACTCTTGTAGAATGCGCCTTAACCTACGAAGGTAAAACTCTGCCAGACACATGGTAAGCTGTACGAATAGCTGACACAATCCACTTCGAAATCCGTTGTGATGATACTGGCAAACCTATAGCATCACTTCTATAAGTTACAAACAACCTCGGCGTCTTTCGATATTTTGCTGTTCTATCTACATAATAAGCTATCGCCCTTTGAACATCTAACATATGTAGAGACTTTTCTAAAGACGTTTTGTAGTAGTGATGTTGTTGTTGCTTTTTGGTATAATGTTGCGAATTGTTTTTATATTGTGCCTTGTATTTGCTGTTCCTATGTTGTACACCGCTGTGAGTCGCCCTCGGGCTGAGAACAGCGGTATATAAATAAAATAAATAAATAAATAAATAAATAAATAAATAGAACAACTATTTTCAAAGTGAGTACTGTACAATTAAACAGGAATTAACACTTTCAAACCAGGAACAGATTTTTTTTTTCATATTTTGTTACATAATGTAATGGAAAAAATGGCTGTCTTAATGTAAGATGGAAGGGGTCACCTCTCCCCCTCCCATGGATAGGATTATTTTAAAAATACGTATTATTTCCAAATGTTGGAAACATTGGCCAAAACCCTGCATCAAAGATCTACCAAAGTGATGATCCAATGGGCTAAGAATATAGGTAGAGCCATCCACCTGAGGGAGTGGGAAATAATATGGACAAAGCGACTAAAGTACACATATGCCTCAGATCTTAAAGAGAACTGGCTCAAGATGATACATCGATGGTATTTAACACCCCAAAAATTGGCTAAAATGTACAAGAATTTAGACAATCAATGTTGGAAGTGTAAATCTCAAGAGGGCTCTTTTTACCATGTTTGGTGGTCTTGTCCCAAAACAAGAGAATATTGGAGGATGATCCATTCAGAATGTAAAAAAAATTAAATGTGAATTTCCCCATGTGCCCAGAAGCTTATTTGTTAGGTATATATGATGTAAATATTCTCACTGATAATAATATGGAAAAGTTGTTTACTTTCTTTGCAACAGCTGCTAGAATGATCTTTGCCAGACTCTGGAAACAAGACTCCATTCCCTCAAAAACACAATGGTTAGAGAAATTAACAGACATTAAAGATATGGATGAACTGACCTACTGGCTTAGGCAAAATAATGGAAAAGGGATGGTAAAAACGGATTGGAGTATTTTTGAAAACTATTTGGACAATGAATTTTATGGACAATGAACATTATATGGACAATGACTCTTAACGGGATGAAATAAATAATGATTTCAATAAAGGAGAGAGAATGTATGTAATTGAAAGGACTAAGGGAAAATTTTGTTTAGGGAAAGCGAGGAAAAAGAGGGGAAGTCGGTTTTAGATATGTGGTGTTTTGATGTGTGGGTTTTTTTTCTTTTATTTTTCTAGGATTGTCTATGTCGTGCACTCATAATGGCATTTGTATGTACATCTGTTGTTTTTGATGTTCCTGTATTGGTTTTTTGGGTTTTTGGGTTTTTTTTTTTGCTCTGGCTCTTATTGTAAAATCAATAAAAATTATTTTTTTAAAAAAAGATCTACCAAAGTGATCATACAACAGGAGAGAAAGAAATATTAATCTGAGCTGGAAAGGTTATTTGTGAATTTCAAGGCATCGCTTCCAGGGACTTTCCAATTCCATCAAGTTCCTTATTTACGAAAGAACCTGAAATGCTTGGTTTAAGACAAGATGGGGATAGAGTTACATCAATTATTTTCTCCTGGATCTAGCTGGACTTATACCAGATGACTGGGGATGAAATTAAAAATGAAAACAGCAATTGCACTGATGTACTCACCAATTCCATTAAGTCTCTCAACTTGCCAATTTCCTCCGGAATAGACACAAGCTTATTATTGCTGACCACTAAAACTTTAAGTGGCAGATCAAACAAGTATTTGGGCAACGTCGACAAAAGGTTCCGACTAGAGAGAGGAAAGAAAGCAGGTGGTAAACTACAGCTATTCGGTTTGGGATAATATTCAGGCTGCTTGAAGCCAGCGTGAAGTCCCTTGAGACGGTAATATTCCACTTAAATGTAAATCTCTTAGAGCTGGGCAACAGCTGTAAGATGATAAAAATGTCCTAAACCAACATTAAGGCAAAAAAAAAAAATCAACACAATCAGGTTGTGGCCTGTAATTTCATGTCATGCATTCATCCCAAATTTGGGATGAAGAGTTGGGAAAACAGAGTAGTATCTTATGTGAACACTTTAGCTGTTCCAGTACATTTATTCCTCTCAGAAATGGCCTGATTTACATATTATCTCTTCAGCTCATTAGGCACAATACGAGAGGGTTTCCACAAAACCACATCAGATCTGATGACCTATAAAAAACTGAATATTTAACAATATAGCATTGTATTTCAGATATAGATCATTTAATGTAGTTCCTTCAAGCACACTGATGACAGGGGTTGAGGGATTCTGTATATATTGAGTTTCAACAATAGCTATAAGTCTAAGATCAGGCAATCTTAGATGTCTTAGACCAGGGGTCCTCAAACTAAGGCCCAGGGGCCAGATATGGCCCTCCAAGGTCCTTTACACAGCCCTCACTCAGGGTCAACCTAAGTCTGAAATGACATGAAAGCACGCAACAACAACAATCCTATTTCATCAGCCAAAAGCAGGCCCACACTTCCTATTGAAATACTAATAAGTTTATATTTGTAAAAATTGTTATTTTAATATTTTTACTGCTTTAAGTGTTTTTTTGCACTACAAGTAAGATATGTGCAGTGTACATAGGAATTCATTCATGTTTTTTTTTCAAATTATAATCTGGCCCTCCAACAGTTTGAGGGACTGCTATCTGGACCTCTGTTTAAAAATCTGAGGACCTCTGTCTTAGACACTTGTTAAGGGATGTCACCTATTTTTGATGTTTCTATAAGATATCTCAAGATATTGGTGTTTAAAGGGACCTAGAATGAATGAATCTGCTATCACTCTTGTCACGTATTTATCTTTTCTTGAAGTCATCTGAAGGACATGTCATGGAATAATAGAATCTTAGAATTAGAAGAGACTCCAGGGAGCATCCAGTACAGCCCCCTTATGCCAGGCAGGAAAAGCACAATCTGATCCCTCCCAACAGATGGCCATCGAGCCTCTGCTTAAAAGCCTCTAAAGGAGGAGCTTCCACCAGACTCTGAAGCAGAGAGTTCCACCACTGAACAGTTCTTACGGTCAGGAAGTTCTCCCTAATGTCATAAGCTCTCCTTGGGGGTTAAGAAATGCTCCCAAAGGGATAAAACACAAACTGATTTGTCATGACTCTTGCCAGCATAGCAGGCGTTATGCTGGCAATTTCTTCCTGGATGTTGGTCTTCAAAACTTGTAGGGTCCTTGGACGGTTCACATAAACACGGGATTTCAAAAAAACCCATATAAGATTTGAAGCATCAGGAGGAAATTGCCAACATAATGCCTGCTATGCTGGCAAGAGTCATGACAAACACCAGAAATCAATTTACTCAGTGTATGGAGAATGGGGGATGTCACCTACCTAATTTGATCTTCAAAACTACGTAAAACAAAACTTTAGGTATGCGCCTACATTATAAAAAAAAATTCTGATTCATACAATGGGTTTTATTAAGTTTTGAAAAAAGGAAGTTATGCTGCTGCACCCTGTATTTGTCATTTCAGCCCATAACTCTTCTCCTTTCCTTTTGAGAATGAAATAAACAACCATTTTCTCATTCCTTGTTTATGAAACCAGAGAGAGTACAGCCTCCCAGAATCTCCTCCCACACCAAACTTGCTCCTCTCGTGTATATTTATCACTCTACTTCTTTTCCAGGTTTGAGTATAGAAACCTCCATGATGTGAAATGGGACCCCAAGGAACAAAAAGGCAGCTCTCCCTCAATCATCTCTATTATTGGCACTGGTCAATAATAATAATAATAACAATAATAATAATAATAATAACAACAACAACTTTATTTTTATACCCCGCTAACCATCTCCCCTAGGCGACTTGGGGCGGCTTACAAGGGACATGCCCAAGATTACAATTAAAACACACATGTAAAACACTTTAACCAATTAAAGCATCAGATAAAACAAATAACAACACAATAGAAAGCAATATAAAAACAATACGGCTGAAAGAAATATAGCTGAGGTACAGATTCAATGAGTACAATACATTTTTACAGGAGCGCAGGAAAGTGCAACAATACAGGAAATACTGTCATAGCACATGTTGAGGTAGAACATATGAGAGTGTAAAATGCGGGCCGGTGTAAAGTGCGGAACTTCAAGTAGGGACAAGAAAGTTACTGGTGAGCTGCTTAATCAAAAGCGCACCGAAACATCCAGGTTTTTAGTTTACTACGAAAGGAGGACAAGGTGGGAGCCTGTCCGATCTCCCTAGGGAGTGAGTTCCAGAGCCAGGGGGCCACCACTGAGAAGGCTCTTAAACAAGTTACAACTATCCTGATGTGTAGAATTAAAAGGAAAATCTGTCAAAGTCAAAAACAAAAGCACTGCTCACATATGCTCAGCTTACAAAAGTCAGTTAGGAGGCTTTAAAAAGCGGACAGGATACCTGACAGTCTGGCCACATTAGCAGGTTGCTCCACAGAGAACAGTTTCCCCTACTTTTTGGAATAGGAGAAAAACAAACCCCTACTATGTATATTTCCATTCCCCACAAGCAACATGTATTTGCGATTTTTACACTCATGTAGCAAAAGGATCATGGTCAAATCTGTTCATAGTCTACAAGAAAAAAAGTGGACACAACACGCTCAAACAAAGAACACACTGACATTGCTTCCTTTCAAGAAGCATCATCGCTTTGCCAATCTTGAGTCAGCCCAGCCATTCTCTCCAAAGGCATGCAAGATCAGCAAAGCTCTTTCTGCTTTAGTTTAACTGTTAGAAGCAGAAAGGCATAGAATGGCAAGCCTTTACCTTAGCGTTTCAAAGACCACAATCTGAAAAAGGGAATACCAGGAACAAAATTAGAGAAGACATTACTTAAGGGTTTTGGCCTCTGAGCTACAGACTGAGTGATAGTTGTTTAGTCTTCCCAAATGAGGAGGGGGAAATCTGACGTTCTCACAATTTGGAGAGCTACTTCTGATGCCAAGCAATTATACATGTGTCACATAAAAGTGATTACCCACCTGATGTTGAGATACGTTAACATCTGCAGGTTTTTAATGGCTTCAGGGATGGATTTGATGCAGTTGTGATACAAGTTCAACGTCTCCAGCGGTGCAAACTGCCAGACCTCAGGAGGAATCTCAGTAAATCTGTTCTTGGAAAGATCTAAAAAGAGAAGCAGGGTGGTGGGGATGTTTCCAAAAGCTGAGTCTTCACATAATAAATGTGCTTTTCTTTAAAAGGCAACAAAACCTTTGAACGTTATCATCTTGTAATTTGGTACTTTTCTCAAACGAACTAAGATTCATGGGAATAGATACATTTGCATAGCAATTACCAGGGTTCAGAACAAGTTTGGTTTGTTTTGTTTTGTTTTTTTTTTGTTTGTTTGTTTGTTTGTTTGTCGTGTCAGGAGCGACTTGAGAAACTGCAAGTCACTTCTGGTGTGAGAGAATTGGCCGTCTGCAAGGACGCCCGGATGTTTTGATGTTTTATCATCCTTGTGGGAGGCTTCTCTCATGTCCCCGCATGAGGAGCTGGAGCTGATAGAGGGAGCTCATCCCGCTCTCCCCGGATTCGAACCTGAGACCTATCGGTCTTCAGTCCTGCCGGCACAAGGGTTTAACCCGCTGCGCCATCAGGGGCTTCTTAGAACAAGAATGGGAAGATTTTAGTCCCTCCAGATGGTGAAACTACAACTCCCACAACTCCTTACTGTTGAATATGATGACTGAATATTTCAGAAGTTGAATTTAAAAACATTGCTAGATACTAGATACAGGCAGTCCTCAAGTTACAAACACCCGACTTGCAACAACTCATAGCTTAGAATGGGGATGAGTGACAGGAAGTGAAATGAATAGAAATTCACTCCTCAAAGAGTGAGCATGGGAAAATGTGTCTCAAATGAAGCTTTATCCCCAATCTGGGGAACGGGGTGAGCTCCCGTCTGTCAGCCCCAGCTTCTCATGCAGGGATATGAGAGAAGCTTCTCACAAGGTGGTAAAACATCCGGGCATCCCCTGGGTAATGTTCTTGCAGACAGCCAATTCTCTCACACCAGAAGTGACTTGCAGTTTCTCAAGTCACTCCTGACACAAAAAAAAACTTACATATGAATTCAACTCAAAAGCAAGACTACAGAATCTCTCTTGTTCATAACTTGGGGGTGGCTTATATTCTAATTTTGAACAATGAAGGAGGAAATAAGAGGCGTCTGAGAAGGGGCATACTTCAACCAGAGAGGTCAAAAGAAGGACCAATGGTTTCCCACAGCTATTTATTCTTCTTGGCAGATCCAGAGAGAACAGAAAGGAAAATAATAGGAGTTTGTGTCTGATCTAACACAAGTTTCCCTTCTTATTTTATTTATTTATTTAAAACTTTTATATCCCAATCTTTTCTACCTCCGCAAAGGGACTTCTTACAAGGGAAGGCAATATTTCTCATGAAGTCTTTAGATCATGAATAGACAACTGGAGCCTCTCCAGATGTTCTTCCTTTAGAATACAATTCCCACCAGAAATGATGGGAGGTTTTGTCTTACACATTTCTGGAGACACAGTAATGCCAACCTCTGATCTAGACAAACTCCTTACCCTTCCTTCTGAACCAAATCCCTATAGGTGAAAATATGTGGGCAAATCTGTTACCATGCAAATCTGTTTTTATTTTTAATTATAAGCCTCTGTAAAGCATTGCATACGATGGCAATGCTGTGTATGTGACACTCAGCATTTATGAAACCATTCCACTACTGGGATAAGACATCTTTGCCCTCTCTGTACCAACAAAGCTAAGCCATAAAACACCCACGCCATCTATGAAGAGACACGGCAGCACACAGCCTTTAAAATGATTCATTTTCAATTTGCAGATACATCCTCAGTTATGTCTTCTGGTTTAATAGACCTTTTCGGAGGAAGGGGGAGCAAGAACGATGGTACCCAGCAGTGTGGAACAAAAACTTTTCCACGCTGGAGAAAAAGAATAGCATCCTTGGCTTCACCCCTCTGTTACACGAGGAGACAAAAATGCAAGCGAACCCCTTAAGGCTGATTAATACTTCCCAAAGTCTCTGCTTTTCCTTCTCTGTCTGTAAAGCCTACTATGCAGATTATTTGTTACTTCATTCCACTAGTTAAAAAAGGGAAGCTAACAGGATCGGTATGCCTCTGTTTCACATGACAAAAATCACAGTCTTGTACAGAATTAGAAACCATCTGCGAGGGAGCGGCTATACAAAAATAGCAGATGTCATAGAATAATCACCTAATTAAAATGCAATCCTGAATAGTATTTTTACAATCTTATTCAATAATCATAATAATCCTGATGATTTCCACCCACCTCATCAATATTTCATAGGATTTATTCAGCTACACTGGAGAGAGGTTAAAAAAGAAACCCCAACGTTAGAAGACTATTTTAAATTATCATGGACAATACAGTCACAGCAACAACACAAAGGGCCTACTGAGTAGATTTTAAGATGGACGTTTGAGCACAAAAGGGCAGAAGAAAACATTCAACAGGGCAGGAGTTTCATATGTTTTGATGTTTTACATTTTAATGTTATGTTGTTTATTTTACTGCAATTTGTATTGTTATATTGTAGTTTGTTGTTCGGGCTTGGCCCCATGTAAGCTGCTCCGAGTCCCCGTTGGGGAGATGGTGGTGGGGTATAAATAAGATTATTATTATTATTATTATTCTCTCCTTTAAGAGGGAAAGCTCTTGTATTTGAGGTCTTTCTGCTAAGCAGGAAAAGGTGATTATAGTGGAAGGAAGCCTTAAAAACCGTGTGATATCAAGACAATTGTTTCCTTCGATATTTTTCAGAAATAGAGGATCAATCACCCAATTATATATATATTTTTCGTGTCAGGAGCAACTTGAGAAACTGCAAGTCGCTTCTGGTATGAGAGAATTGGTCGTCTGTGAGAGAATTGGCCGTCTGCAAGGACATTGCCCAGGGGACACCCAGATGTTTGATATTTTACCATCCTTGTGGGAGGCTTCTCTCATGTCCCTGTATGCGGAGCTGGAGCTGACAGAGGGAGCTCAACCTGCTCTCCCCAGATTCGAACCCTGACCTGTTGGTCAGCAGTCCTGCAGGCACAAGGGCTTAACCTATTGCACCACTGGGTGCTCTAATGGCACTTGAATAGGCAGCAGACCCAGAGTAGATTCAAGTCAGACAAAAGAACACAATAGTGCAAAATGCATAATATATGAAGAATATATGAAATACACTGCTACAACTCGTAGCTGGCTCACATGGCACTGGAGGCAGAATAGACAAATGCAAGGAAGACAACCAGTCCAGCAACAACCATCAAACATAATGGCTGAATGTCCAGGGAACTGCATACTACGGAATGCCAAAGGCTCAAGGAAAACAACCAGGAGCAAGTGAGCATTTTCTCTTTCTTCCCAATTTTCCAGCTTCCCAGAATCATCTCTAAGAATTACTGAATTATATGAATTATTATATATTACACTGCTTAGCCGGTATTGCACCACCTGACATCCGCCGGGAAGTAGCAGCCAATAGTGAAAGGACCAAGGCAGAGACATCTCCAGCTCATCCCCTGTCTGAGTATCAGCCAGCATGTCAACAACTTAAATCTAGAAATAGTTTTCTAAGATCTACAGAGACATTCGCTGGAATACCTCAGCAAGCGAGAGTCCAAAAGTGGCAGGCTAAAACCCAGAACCTCAACCAATGGCTGATACCAAATGAGAGACTCCCCCCTGGGCACACAGAAGACTGGGCGACTTGGAAGGCGCTGAACAGACTGCGCTCTGGCACCACGAGATGCAGAGCCAACCTTCAGAAATGGGGCTACAAAGTGGAATCCTCGACATGTGAGTGTGGAGAAGCAAACCACTGACCACCTGCTGCAATGCAACCTGAGCCCTGCCACATGCACCATGGAGGACCACTCCAAGTGGCCAGCTACTGGTCAAAGGACATTTAATCAACTACCAAACTCACAAATTTTGTATTCTGTATTTTTGTATTTTGTCTGTTTGTTTGCTTTGCTCTGTTAGAAATGTAATATAATTGACTGGTTGCTGATCTCGATCAATAAATAAATAAATAAATAAATAAATAAATACTGAATTATAAGTATACCTTAAGTATCCAAGTAATTGTTTTTGTGGCCACTATGTGAACAAAAATGTACTAAGAGGCAGAGATAATTTGCAACAAGGTAAGTTACTACATCACAAAAAAGGAAGAGTTGTCCATAAAACCTTTTATTCAGAAAAAAAAAAACAAATTTTATGCACATCTGAAACAAAATAACTAGTTCTGGTAAGCCTTGCAAAACTCGACAAAAATATTTTTAACAATCTAGGGAGCGCCTGAAGTCTTCTTTCACAGTCTTTCCATTGTCAATGCTGCTGAGGATAAATGCCTAGCTAGCTAGAAAAGCAGAAGCTGGGCAGATGCCGAGACTTTGGAAAAAGGACCTTCACTATCAGAGCTTTTCCTAACAGAGTTACAGTCCGATCCCACAACTCCCTTTTTTTKCCCCCACTGGGCATCTGTAGTAAAAAAAAAAAAAAAGCATCACAGGTGAGGAAGTGAACTGCGAAGTCTTTGACTCCTAAATTTCCAGCCCATCCTACACCAGAGACAAAATGATAATAGAAATCTTGTAAAGGTCAGAATTAAAGYCCTAATTATGATATTATGGCAATCAATTCACGTTGTGAGAAGCGACTCCTCTCTTAATTAWTTTTGGCAAGAAGCATCAAGCCTTCTGACAAAGCAGCCTCTTAACCCATTGACCCCAGACAAAGCTTGGATAAATGATGTCAAGAGACGGGCACCATGACTTTTCCCTCAATCTAGACCAGCGTTTCTCAACCTGGGGGTCGGGACCRCTGGGGGGGTRGCGAGGYGGTGTCAGAGGGGTCGCCAAAGACCATCAGAAAACACAGTATTTTTCTGTTGGTTGTGGGGGTTCTGCGTGAGAAGCTTGGCCCAATTTTCTTGTTGGTGGGATTCAGAATGCTCTGTGATTGTAGGTGAACTATAAATCCCAGCAACTACAACTCCCAAATGTCAAGCTCTATTTTCCCCAAATTCCACCACTGTTCACATTGAGGCATATTGAGTATTTGTGCCAATATCTGGTCCGGATCCATCA